AGGTCTGCCTTACAAGAGCTCCTGAAGGAAGCAGTAAACATGGAAAGGTACAATCAGTACCAGCCACTGCAAAAACATACCAAATGGTAAGAACCATCGACACACTGAAGAAACTGCATCAACTAAGGGGCAAAACAACCAGCCAGTAATAAAATGGCAGGATCAAATTCACACATAACAATATTAACCTTAAATGTAAATGGACTAAATGCCCCAATCAAAAGACACAGACTGACAAATTGGATTAAGAGTCAAGATCCATTGGTGTGCTATATTCAGAAAACCCAACTCACATGCAAAGACACACATAGGCTCAAAATAAAGGGATGGAGGAAGATTTACCAAGAAAACAGAGAGCAAAAAAAAAGCAGGGATTATGATCCTAGTCTCTTATAAAACAGACTTTAAACCAACGAAGATAAAGAGACAAAGAAGGGCACTACATAATGGTAAAGGGATCAATGCAACAAGAAGAGCTAACTTTCCTAAATATATATGCACCCAATACTGGAACACCTAAATACATAAAGTAAGTTCTTAATGACCTATAAAGAGACTTAGACTCCCACACAATATTAGTGGGAGATGTTACCACTCCACTTTCAATATTAGACAGATCAATGAGACAGAAAATAAACAAGGATATCCAGGACTTGAACTCATATCTAGACCAAGCGGACCTAACAGACATCTACAGAACTCTCCATCCCAAATCCACAGAATATACATTCTTCTCAGCACCACATCGCACTTACTCTAAAATTGACCACATAATTGGAAGTAAATCATTCCTCAGCAAATGCAAAAGAATGGAAATCATAACCGTCTCTCAGACCACAGTGCAATCAAATTAGAACTCAGGATTAAGAAACTCACTCAAAACCATACAACTACATGGAAACTGAACAACCTACTCCTGAATGACTACTGCATAAATAATGAAATGAAGGCAGAAATAAAGATGTTCTTCAAAACCAATGAGAATGAAGACACAACGTACCAGCATCTCTGGGACATATTTAAAGCAGTGTCTAGAGGGAACTTTATAGCAATAAATGCCCACATGAGAAGCAAGGAAAGATCTAAAATTGACACCCTATCATCACAATTAAAAGAACTAGAGGAGCAACATCAAACAAATTCAAAAGCTAGCCGAAGCCAAGAAATAACTAAGATCAGAGCAGAACTGAAGGAGATAGAGACCCAAAAAAACTTTCAAAAAATCAGTAAATCTAAGAGCTGGTATTTTTTGAAAAGATCCACAAAATAGATAGACCACTAGCCAGACTAATAAAAAAGAAAAGAGAGAAGAATTGAATAGATGCAATAAAAAAATGATAAAGGATATATCACCACCGATTCCACAGAAATACAAACTACCATCAGAGATTACTACAAACACCTCTATGCACATAAACCAGTAAATCTAGAAGAAATGGACACTTACACCCTCCCAAGACTAAACCAGGAAGAAGTAGAATCCCTGAATAGACCAATAACAAGGTCTAAAGTTGAGGCAGCAATTAATAGCCTACCAACTAAAAAAAGTCCAGGACCAGACAGGTTCACAGCCAAATTCTACCAAACACACAGAGGAGCTGGTACTATTCCTTCTGAAACTATTCCAAACAATACAAAAAGAGGGACTTCTCCCTAACTCATTTTATGAGACCAACATCATTCTGATACCAAAACCTGGAAGAGATAAAATGAAAAAAGAAAATTTCAGGCTAATATCCATGATGAACATTGATGCAAAAATCTTCAATAAATACTGGCAAACCAAATCCAACAGGACATCAAAAAGCGTATCCATCACGATCAAGTCGGCTTCATCCCAGGGATGCAAGGCTGGTTTAACATATGCAAAGCTGTAAACGTAATCCATCACATAAACAGAACCAAAGACCAAAACCACATGATTATCACAATAGATGCAGAGAAGGCTTTCGACAAAATTCAACAGCCCTTAATGCTAAAAACTCTCAATAAACTAGGTATCGATAGAACGTACCTCAAAATAATAAAAGCTATTTATAACAGCCCACAGCCAATATCATACTGAATGTGCAAAAACGGGAAGCATTCCCTTTGAAAACTGGCACTCAACAAGGTGCCCTCTCTCACCACTCCTATTCAACATAGTATTGGAAGTTCTTGCCAGAGAAATCAGGCAAGAAAAAGAAATAAAGTGTATTCAATCGGGAAAAGAGGAATTCAAATTGTCTCTATTTGCAGATGACATGATTGTATATTTAGAAGACCCCATTGTCTCAGCCCAAAATCTTAAGATGATAAACACCTTCAATGTGCAAAAATCACAAGCATTCCTATACACCAATAACAGACAGAGAGCCAAATCATGATCAAACTCCCATTCACAAATGCTACAAAGAGAATAAAATACCTAGGAATACAACTAACAAGGGACGTGAAGGACCTCTTCAAGGAGTACAAACCACTGCTCAAGAAAATAAAAGAGGACACAAACAAATGGAAAAACATTCCATGCTCCTAGTTAGGAAGAATCAATATCATGAAAATGGCCATACTGCCCAAAGTAATTTATAGATTCAATGCTATCCCCATTAAGCTACCAATGACCTTCTTCAAATAACTGGAAAAAAACATCTTGAACTGCATATGGAACCAAAAAAGTGCTTGCATAGCCAAGACAATCCAAAGGAAAAAAAAAAAAAAGTCTGGAGGTATCACACTACCTGACTTCGAATTATACTACAAGGCTACAGTAATCAAAACAGCACGGTACTGATACCAAAACAGAGATATAGACCAATGGAACAGAACAGAGGCCTCAGAGGCAATACCACACATCTACAACCATCTGAACTTTGACAAACCTGAGAAAAACAAGCAATGGGGGAAAGGATTCCCTGTTTAATAAATGGTATTGGGAAAACTGGCTAACCATGTTAGAAAAGCTGAAACTGGACCCCCTCCTTACACCTTATGCAAAAATTAACTCCAAATGGATTAAAGGTTTAAACATAAGATCTAACACCATAAAAAACCTAGAAGAAAACCTAGGCAATAACATTCAGGACATAAGCATAGGCAAGGATTTCATGACTAAAACACCAAAAGCAATGGCAACAAAAGCCAAATTAGACAAATGGGATCTAATTAAACTTAACAGCTTCTGTACAGCAAAAGAAACTATCATTAGAGTGAATGGCCAACCAACAGAATGGGAAAACATTTCTGCAATCTACCCATCTGACAAAAGCTAATATACAGAATCTAAAAAGAACCTGAACAAATTTACACGAAGAAAACAACACCATCAAAAGTGGGCAAAAGATATAAACAGACACTTTCAAAAGAAGACATGTATGCAGCCAACAAACATATGAAAAAATGCTCATCACCACTGGTCATTAGAGAAATGCAAATCAAAACCACAGTGAGATACCATCTCATGCCAGTTAGAATAGCGATCATTAAGAAATCTGGAGACAAGAGATGTTAGAGAGGATGTGGAGAAAAAGGAACACTTCTACACTGTTAGTGGGAGTGTAAATTAGTTCAACCATTGTGGAAGACAGTGTGGCGAGTCCTCAAGGACCTAGCCCAGCAATCCCATGACTGGGTATATATCCAAAGGATTATAAATCGTTCTATATAAAGATACATGCACACGTATGTTCATTGCAGTACTGTTTACAATAGAAAAGAGTTGGAACCAACCCAAATGCCCATCAATGATAGATTGGATAAAGAAAATGTGGCAAATATACACCATGGAATACTATTCAGCCATAAAAAAGGATGGGTTCATGTCCTTTGCAGGGACATGAATAAAGCTGGGAACCATCATTCTCAGCAAACTGACACAAGAACAGAAAACCAAACACCACATGTTCTCACTCATAAGTGGGTTTTGAACAATAAGAACACATGTACACAGCAAGGGGAACATCCCACACTGGGGCCTGTTGGGAGATGGGAGGGCTAGGTGAGAAATAGCAGGGGGTAGGGGGACTGGGGAGGAATAACAGCAAAAATACCTAATGTAGCTGACAGGGGTATGGATGCAGCAAACCACCATGGCATGTGTATACCTTTGTAACAATACTGCATGATCTGCACATGTACCCCAGAACTTAGAGTAAAAAAAAAAACAATGGTTGTACTGATCCACAATTCACTCAAACTATACCCTAGAACAAAGCCCAACATTCTTTATAGAAAGATAATAGAGTTCTGCATTCATGAACATCACATTGACTATTTCCATATTGATATTAATAATGGGATTAATAGCAGATTTGGCACAAGAAAGAGAATAAACTTGCAGGACAACAATAATATCCACAATGAGGCACAGAAAGAAAAAAGATAAAATTAGCAAAGATTCACTGATCTGTGGAACGGTATTAACTTACTAGTTTCACTAGTTTAACTTACATGCAAATAGAGTACCATGGGTGGGATGAGAAGGGCAGGACAGTATCTGATAAATGAATGGCCAAAATTTACAATATTTGACAAAATATCAAAAAACAGATAAAAGCATCTCAACAAATGACAAACAGGAAAAATATAAAGGAAACAACACAAAGACACATCATAATCAAAATGCTAAAAACAGTTACAAAGAAAAAAGGAAAAAGTTTAAAAGCAGTAAAAAAAAAAAAAAAAAATGGCATTATATAGAACAGACCATAACAAAGAATAGCATGACTTCTCATCAAAAACAACACAAGCCAGAATACAATGGAATGACAACCTTAAAGTACAAAAAGGAAAAAACACAAAACATTGTCAACCTAGAATTCTATTTCTAGCAAATATGTCCTTCAAAATAAAAGGACAAATAAAAACTTTCAGAAAACCAAAGGCTGAAAGAATTCATTGCAAGCACATCTGCAATATAAGAAATATAAAGAATATTCTTCAGGATGAAGTTAAATGATTTCACATGAAAGCCTGGATCTACATAAAGTAATGAAGAATACCAGAACCATAAATATGTGGCATTTAACATTGATATTTAGTTTTAATATTTACCTATGGATATTATTTATAAATTATTTCATTTACATTTAATATTATAGTAAATATTTTGAAATTAATTTTAATAAATTTAACTTAAATTGAAATATTAATACTTGGTATTAAATTAAATATAAAAGACTTTTTTCCTCATTTACTTAATTCCTTTAAAGATAACAAAGTTTAGCTGAGTGTGGTTGAACATGTGTATAGTCCCAGCAACTCAGATCCTCAGGAAGAAGATAGCTTGAGCCCAGGAAGCTGCGTTCAGCCTGAGCAACAAAAAATAGTATTTTAACAAGCATCTGTTTGGTAAAACTTGGGTAGTCCTTATCTGAAATGCTTGGAATTAGAAGTATTTTGGCTTTTGAACTTTTGATTGTGAAAAATTTTCATATACACAATGAGATCTCTCTGGGATGAGATCCAAGTCTAAACAAAAAATTCATTTATGTTTCATATATACTTTATATACACAGCCTAAAGGTACTTATATACAACAGTTTAAATAATTTTGTGCATAAAACAAGGTGTGTGTACATTCAATCTCAGCCACCATGTGGACAATCTGGTTATTTGCCATCATCCTCACTCCTGATTGAATCTATATGCAACCAATAAGGAATCATTTTCTTACACTCATTCACACATAAATACTTAAGAGTAAAAATATTATATAAACTGAAAAATAATGTGTTCAGAGCGGCTAAGCAGCTCAGTAGCATCACCAGAATACTTACGTCAGCTACTGAGCAACAGCAACAACAAACAATGGTAGGATTTTGGTCTCCACCTAGAATATTGTGTTCTGATTAAAAGGTTACTACTGTACACTCTATTTTATTTTGTTTGGTGAGAAGAAACATCAGAAGCAGTCAAGGGACCAGGGGATGTTCCTCTCAGGAAGGAGAAGGTATTCTGTTGCATCGCTTTTTAAAATATTTCCTCCAAAGTCATCTGCCTCATTAACAATGGTTTTTGTCTTAAAAGTCTCTTTGATTTTATAAACTGACATAATTTATTGTTCTCTGATGAACGTACACTGCTCTAGTCCTTCATTGTGCCCAATCACACATTTTCACTATGTCTATGGGCTCTTTTTCTGCAATGTTAATACCATCATCTTCATTGTCACTATCGTCTTGATTCAGAACTATTTCGGCTATTTCACCATTGGTCAATGAAAGAACAACCAAAGCAACATTATCGATATTAAAAGGTCCTTTGACATCTACTTCTTCTAGCTTACTGATGGGCTCTGAAGGCATATTTTTTGCATATGTGGGGTCAGACATTGTTTTTTCTCACTTGACATACAGAACCCTTCAACGTCATCACCTTGTTCATCATCATTGCCAACAGAGGCAGGCCAGAGCCTGTGCCAGACATGCACTGTGTCTTTAGTCACAGTATTCCAAGCACTGGCAACAGCATATGCACCATCCTTCATGCTAAACTCCTTTTGAAAACATTTTGCATACACCTCTGTTTATAGCTGTCAGCATGCTATTCAAGAAAGTGTTTTCATATTTACTCTTCATTGATCTAAAGGAAACCCTGGTCACATGGCTGAACTAATGAAGTAATATTTGGGGAAAAGTACATGACACAAACATGATTTTTGATGAGAATTTCAGCTGGAGGATGAGCAGAACAGTTTTAATAGAACAATAAAATCTGGCAGTTGTCATCTGATCCAGCTTTCCAGCAGTGAGCGCAAGCCACTGGTAAGTGCTGTTTACAAAACCAATCAGAAAAGATGTCCCTGGTGATCCATGCCTTTTTGTTAGCATAATAGTGGACTGGTTAAAAATGCATTCCTTGAAAATAATGAGCAAGCTTTTGCCTATCACAGCAAGTTTATACTTATGTGTGCCTACTACATTAACACATATCAACACTGTTATTTTGTCCTTTGCATTCTTAATTCCATAAGGGCTGTCTCATGAATTGTAGTCAGTATCTTTCTGGGGCAGTAATGCCAAAACAGTGGTGTTTCATCAGCATTACAGATTTGTTCTGGCATAATATTTTCATCAGCAATGACCCTGGCAAATTTATCAATACATTTCTCTGCTGTTTCATGATCAGTAAACAATTTGTGCAAATCTTCAAAAATGTAATGCTTGTCTTTTTTAAAATTTCTGCAACTTGCCTGTTGAATATTCACAGTTCTCTTCAATTTTCAATTCACTGTAATCAATCTTTGTTTCATGATCAGCATAAAATTAAGTTATGTGTGTTCACTGCAATACTGATGGGTCCATTCTTTTCAGTATGTAATCAAGATCTTCATTTTTAACTTTATGCACTGTTTATCTATTTTGCACTAACTTCATCACTTTCAGCATAGAATGTCAACAGTTTATCCTTCTGTAACTTTAGGTCATTCCAATACCATACTCTTCTGAAAGGCATTTCATGCTTATACTGCTGTCCATTTTCTCTAACAGCTTGGCTTTCTGTCTATAGATAACAAATGCTTCCTCTTTCTCTTATCACTGTTACCATGGGAGTATCTGCAGGCCTTCTTTTTTTTTTTTTAACATTTGCAACAGTATCTTTACACCACAGAGTAAAAAACAAGCAAAAAAACACACTAAGTAATGCTCACAGACCTTAGCCTCATGTGAGGCATCATGAGGAACCTGCCATTGTTCCAACCTGCACATGTGCCATTTTATTACCCTTCGTGGGCATGCTTGTTGAAGGGGAATCTGAGTGTGCACAAGGTTGTGCACAGGGATGTGCACAGGGAAGATATACCGCAGCTCAAGGTAGGCTAAAAAGGTCTTTTTTCCCTTAGAAACGCTAAATAAGGGCCAGGTACTTTGGCTCACACCTGTAAACCCAGCACTTTGTGAGGCTGAGGCAGGCAGATCATGAGGTCAGGAGTTCGAGACAAGCCTGGCCAACCTGGTGAAACCCTGTCTCTACTAAAAATACAAAAATTAGCTCAGTAGTCCCAGCTACTCAGGAGGCTAAGCCAGAAGAATTGCTTGAACCTAGGAGGCAGAGGTTGTAGTGAGCCTCTGTACTTCAGCCTGGGTGACAGAGTGAGACTCCATCTCAAAAAAAAAAAAAAATGCTGTACACCTATGTTTTGATGATAACCTGTCACATAAGGTTAGGTATGGAATTTTCCACCAGTGGCCTCATGCCAATCCTCAAACGTTTTCAATTTTGGAATATTTTGGATTTCAGATTTCCAGATTAAGGATGTACAACTTGTACAACTATGTTTCACATATTGTGCAGGGATATAGAAATGAACTAGAAATAATATTTGCCTTCAAAAAACTTATGAGGGATACAGACAAGTAAATAATAGCAAACACAATTCCAGAAGGAGAGAAGATAGTATGAGAGTCAATAAATAATTCAATAAGGTGGAAGCAGAAGATAGAAAGACTGGAAAAACAGACACGGTAAATCATGAAGATCCACATCATAAAAAAGAACATGGATTTCATAGATAACTGGAAGTACCTGGCAAATTTTTTACTGCAGAATTACATTTTCAATGTGTTTTTGTGCCAACTGAGGTTTTTTTTTGTTTTTTGTTTGTTTGTTTGTTTGTTTGAGACGGAGTTTCGCTCTCGTTTCCCAGGCTGGAGTGCAATGGCGCAATCTCGGCTCACCGCTACCTCCACCTCCTGGGTTCAGGCAATTCTGCCTCAGCCTCCCGAGTGGCTGGGATTACAGGCGCGCGCCACAACGCCCAGCTAATATTTTTTGTATTTTTAGTAGAGACGGGGTTTCACCATGTTGACCAGGATGGTCTCGATCTCTTGACCTCGTGATCCACCCGCCTCGGCCTCCCAAAGTGCTGGGATTACAGGCTTGAGCCACCGCGCCCGGCCTTTTTCGTTTGTTTTAAAGAACATTTTGATAACAGACAATAGGAAAAAGATGAGGTATAGAGAAGGGTTGGAGATAGAGCTAGAGGCACAAAGACCAAAGTTAACTGTCATCGTTTAGGAAGTGACTGTGACTAGGACCTAAACTAAGGCAGTAATGAATCACTCTCTCCTCCTCGATACTCTCATTCACTTGGCTTCCAAAACACTATACTCTTGATTTCTCCCTTAACTCACTGGTTGCTTCTTCTCAGCCTCCTTTGTTGATTCCCTCTCTTCCTCTACTCTGCCCGAATCCAGATTCTTAATGTTAAAATGTCCTGGGATAAGTTCTTATTCCTTTTCTCCATCTATTCATTCTCTTGGGGGATTTATCTAGGTTTTTATTTCAAATACTATATATTTTCATATGACTCCAAAATTTACTTCCAATGAAATTCTGAACTCAGATATCTGACTGCCTACTCAATACCTCCACTTAGATACCTAATAGACGTATCAAAGTTAACAAGTCCTGTTCTTCCCTTCTAAACCTGCTCTACCCACAGCCTTTCCTCCCATCTAAGTTGATGGAAAATGCACTTACTTGCGGGGGTAGGGGAGGAAAAAACCACATAGATTTATCTCAACTCTTTCTCTTATATTCTACATCTAATCTATCAAAAACTCATGTTGGCTCTATCTTCCAAATTCTAGAATCCACAGCTCACTGCCTCCACTGTCACTGACCACTCTGTCTAAGCTACCTTCACCTCCTGAGTGAAATATTCCAACAACCTCCCAGTTTGTCTAATTTATGCTTTGCTCATATAATCTGGTCTCAACCAGCAGCCAGTGGTCTTTTAAAAATATAAATTAGGTATCTCTCCTTTGCTCAAAGTATCTATCCATTCAGCGTCTCACAAAAGCCCTACAGGAGTGGACCACTGTTACCTCTAAGACCTTTTTCCACTTCAGATCTACTGATTTCCCTGGAGTTCCTTGAACTCACCAAGCATGCTCTCATCTTAAAGTCTTTGCACTGACTGTTCTCCCTACTTGGAAAGCCTTTTTTCCAAATATTCTCATGGCTTACTTCCTTCAGGTTTTTGCTGAGATTTCATTGATATGGACCATCTTATTTTTTTTTTTTTTTGGAGACAGAATCTCACTCTGTCAGCACAGGCTGGAGTACAATATCACAACCTTGGTTCACTGCAGCCTTGACCTCCTGTTCTCAAACAATGCTCCTACCTCAGCATCCCATGTAGCTGGGACCACAGGCACACACCACCACACCCAGCTAATTTTTAAATTTTGTGTAGAGGCCAGGTCTCACTTTGTTGCCCAGGCTGGTCTTGAGCTCCTGGACTCAAGTGATTCTCCCACCTTGGCCTCCCAAAGTGCTGGGATTACAGGCATGAACCACAGCACCAGGCCTGGACCATCATTACAACCATTTTAAAAATTGCAACCCTCTCCCCACCTCCCACACTCTCAAACCCCATCCCACCCTACTTTTTCTTTTTTCACAGCACTGACACCATCTGGAATACTATATAATTAAGTACTCCTTGAATGAATAAATTTTACAGGCAATGTAGAGAAGGCAGATTTTTTAAAAAATGAAGAACATAAAATCAGCAGGGCTTGGTCTCCAATAGTATTCAGAGGGAGAAAAAAGAAGTATGGGCTGACATCCATATTTCTAACTTGGGATGGAAGGAGCAAAGACAAATTTGTGAGAAAAAGATACTAAGATCACAGTTTGGGACATGTGGAGTAGATGAATTAGTTATATCCTATTGTGAGCTACAAATCCTGAAGATCCCCTAATCTGCTAAGCAGTCTAGGTATCACATATAAATGGAATCATACATTATTTGTCTTTTTGTGACTGGCTTATTTCACTTAGCATAATGTCCTCAAGGTCATCATGTTGTATATGTGTCGGAATGTTTTTCCTTTTACAAGATGAATATTCAATTATATTAACATACCACATTTTGTTTATCGAATCACCCATTGATGACATTTGGATTGATTCCACCTTTTGGTTATTGTGTATAACACTGCTATAAACATGAGTATACAAATATCTCTTCTATTTCTCTGCAATCTTGAGATGACTATGGGAAATGTTAGAGAAAATCATGAGTTGCAGATGGGAAGATTGATGAAAAGGAGCTAACATTTTGCCAAAGAATCCTAGAAAACCAGAGAAAGACAAATGGCAGTAGTAACAGTCTTAGACATGATAAGATTTGAAGATCAACCAGTGGGGACCCCTCCCTGCCTTAAATCCTGCTTGAGCTTAGTCATACAAAGGAGCACTGACTTCTCATTTCATATTTCTAACTGTTAAACTAGGTAATTCTAACTTACCCTACCTGGGCTTAATAATTATTTATAAGGTACTGTTAAAAGGGTATACTCTTAATATGAAACACATTAACCAACTTATATTAAAATAAGTTAAAGATAAAACTTGACCATGTAACCAGTGAATATGTTCACTATTCACTTATCCTGCAGGCAATGTCTTTGTTGGCTTAATATTACAAAAGCTTTCTTTTTTAAGATCAGTCTTGCCTACATAGCATGATGCACATTAAATTTAAAACCAGCTAAAAATATGTTTATCCAGGAGAACAAAAATGGCTTTTCTTCTTGAAAAAAACATTGGTTAGTATTTTTGAACCTCTTACATGATATCTTATTTCTCCTTTCAAAAAAGCAATATGGAAATTAACAACAGTCCAAAAAAGGAAAAGAAAGAACAAAACCTGAAAAAAAATCTACCTCAGTATTCAGTTTCAAAGCAATGTTAATATTGAAGTACATAAAGGTATGATTTTTTAATGGATACCTAATAGTTATAATATACTTGTAACTATATATACTAATAGTTAAGTTATTAACATATAGTTGTTAGAATAGTTAGCACTTTTAATATTTAACACTGTTAGAATACAGTGCTAAAAATCAGAATTGTCCAGGGTTTCTTTTATACTTGTCTTTAGAGGTTACATCATAAAAAATAAAGTAATTGCTCACTAGAGAATCCTCATACACTGTTGACAGGAATGTAAATGATTACCACCTCTATGGAGAACAGATTGGAGGGTCTCCAAAATACCAAAAATAAGAGTTACAGTATGATATAGCAATCCCACTACTAGGTATACATCCACAAAAAGGAAATCAGTATATCAACGCGATATCTGCACTCCCATGTTTATTGGAGCCCTAGTCACAATAGCCAAGATTTGGAAGCAACCTAAGTATCCATCAACAGATGAATGGACAAAGAAAATGTGGTACATATACAAAATGGAGTACTATTCAGCCATAAAAAAGAATGAGATCCTGTCATTTGTGAGAACATAAATGAACTGGTGGTCATTAGGTCAAGTGAAATAAGCCAGACACAGAAAGACAAATTTTGCATGTTATCGCTTGTTTGACAGAGCTAAAAATTAAAACAATTGAACTCATGGAAATAGAGAGTAGAATGATGGTGACCACAGACTGGGAAGGGTAGGAGGCTGGAGGGAAGGTGGGATAGTTAGTGGCTACAAAAATATAATTAGATAGAACTAATAAAATTTAGTGTTGAATAGCATAACAGGATGACTACAGTTCACAATTATTTTTTGTACATTTTAAAATAACTAAAAGATGGGGTATCCATCCCCTGAAGCATGATGGCCCTGATGTGATTATTATATACTGTGTATCTGTATCAAAATATTTCATGTACTCCAATAAACATATATACACCTAGTTGTATATATTTCTTCTTATAGTTGCCATATAGTAGGAATATATATTTACGGAGTACACGAGATATTTTGATATAGATATACAATGTATAATAATATACCTACTATGTACCCACAAAATATATGCCTACTATGTTCCCACAAAAATTAAAATTTTTAAAAATATATTTATTCGAGGATTAGCTGCCTATTAACAGATTTTTAGGTAAGTAAACGGCCAGATAAATTGTAGTATATATCAATTTCCTAGTACCTAGCAGAGCAACCAGTACTTACCAGGTATCTGAAAAAATATTTATAAATTAATGAATGAGTAAAAGAACAAATGTGTGAACAAACCAATTAACTTGGTTACTCTGATGTATCTGCACATATTCATTTCATAGCACTATCTTCTGATAGCTGCAGTGTGATCACCTTGTTTTTGATGCCAATTTAAAAAGTGTCAAATATAAATAATTCTTCCTAGAAAAAAAATTTTTTCTTCTAAACACTTACGTCCTTTTAACTTCAGAAAGATATTTTAGGAGTAGATAAAAATAAAGCTTCTTGCAAAAGTCACAGACATGTTTTGATAATAACATACACAGATGAATCCTGTTTATCAATTTATGGTCAAAGGCATTCTCTGCCTCTTAGCCAAATGACAGAGTAAATTGGTATAAACAACTAGGAAACACACCACCAAAAAGAGTCAGACTTAATCTAAACATCAACTAGTTTTACCCGCTTTCTGATGAATAAGTTTCTTCTATTACCACATGCCCGGAAGGTAGTCTGGCAACACCCTGGAAAATTCACTATTTAACTCCCAGCACAGCCTATTTCATTCTTTGGACAATTTTAAGGACCAGACAATTATTCTTTACAGAGAGTCAAAATCCATCTTCATGTCACAATTGGTTGTCACTTTGCCTTCTGGAGCTTCACAGTGTCATTCTAACCTTCCCTCAAAAGGGTCGCCCTTCAAATACTAAGAGATAGCTATTAGGACTCCTTATAGGCTTCTTTTTGTAGCTTTGTTATGTGAAAAATTTTAGCCATTTTCTTCTGGATATGCTTGAAGTTTATCACTCTTAGAGTACGAAAATCAGAACAAAATAGTTGGATGCAAAGAATAAAGCAGGACTACTACTAATCTTATTCTAGACATTCTATTAATGATCTAGACATTCCTAAGATCACAATGCATTTTTTGAAAGGAACATGACAAAGTTGATAATATTAAGTGTTCAGTTAACTTAGGAATGTTAAGCTTTTTTTTCCTACCCCTACATCTAAGTCATTTCTCCTTTATTCTGTAATACATAGTATTATATATTATGTTATATTATAAACGTGCCCTCAGTAAATTTTATCTCGCTTAAGCCCATCATCCTGGTATTTTTAGAGCTTTTTTGACTCCTGTCTATATCGCTTAATAATTTAGCTATCCTTCCTCAACTGTGTATTATCTACAAATTTAATCAGCATGCCAGCTATATTTTCTTTTAACTCTTTGTTGATATACATAATGAAGCTGAAGACAGATTCCTATGGTATCCCAGAGTTCTCCTTCCAGGTTAACACAGATCATTAAATAGTATCACTCAGATGCCTGTTCAGCCAACTGCATAACAACATAACCATATTATTATATCCTATCACTCTTATCCATCCTGCCCACAGTGATATCATGATGGACCATGTCAAAAAGCTTCCTGAAATTCAGACCCCTGTCTGCTGTGATCAACAGTCTAATAGCCTTCCAAAGAAGAAAGAAATTAGGTTAATCTCCATGAAAGGTTTTTATAAAATCAGGCTAATTCTTTGAGATCATCATTTTTCCTTAACTACTATCTACTAAATCACCTAATATGAAACTTTACTAAGGATTCAATTCAGATTGACCAGCTGTCTCGAACAAGAAAGGGAGAGAACCTAGAGATGCTTAGGGTCTATGATCTGCTTTCTCTCCTCCATCTTTTTGCCTGAAGGCTCTGTCTCTAAAGATCCTTCCCAAGCTGCTGAAGCAGTGGGGAAAAAAAGACCAAAAATGAGTTTCCCAGATTTAAGTGCCTGGCTCCTATTTCCAACTGCTTTTCCCCAGGTTTTTTAATGCAATAAAAACCAATCATTATCTAATGTTTAACTTATCTGTATTACTTTTCTTTTCCATTCATATATAGTCTGGTGGTAACTACTCTGAAATGGTTTCTAGTAAGGCTTCACCCTTCTACTCTCTCTAAATAGAAACAAATGCTATGATAAAATCTTCACACACTAATAATCTGTGAGAGAAAAGACAGTAGCTTGATATGCAGCTGTAGGATCACACCTTTCTAGTTTTGCTTTTCATGCCATCACCTGCTTACCTATTTGTATATTTTTTAATTAAAAATATACAAATATGTACAAAACTATACATATTTGTATATTTTTAATTAAAAAAAATCCCAAAGTACTTACAGATAAAACATACTATGCCTCGCTAGTAAACAAACTCAAATCAAGCAGCACTGTTTAGTTCTTGGGCAATAAATAGTCATAACCAATAATTGTATTTGTATGTTTTTAGTTCAAAAAAAAAAATCCCAAAGTACTCACAGATAAAACATACTCTGCCTCTCTAATAAACAAACTCAAATGAAAACTCCACTCTTTAGTTCTTAGGCAATAAATGGTCATAACCAATAATTGCATGCGGCAGATCTTTTTTACAATAAAAGCCCTCCCTAAAAAGTAAGGAACTGGTTGTATGGCAAAAAGAAGCAAAATTTAGGATTAAAAACACATGGAATATTATGCTTCCCAATGATAATCTATATAATTAGTCACTTCTCTTGTAGAATATTGTTAGTTTCTTTTTGCTTTTGTTTGTGCCTGGCTATCCCATTAGGGACATTGACAAAATTGATTAAATGATGTTAAAAGTAAAATCACTGTACATGGCTACCATTTTAAAAGAAAGAATAATTAGTAATTTCCCCTAGAGAATTAGGATCAGCTTCAAACTCTTAAGAACCTCTTATAACTGCCTAAATTGGGAAAAATCCAAGGTTGAGCATGTAAATGCAAGCAAAGCAGATAATTTCAAAGAAACACTCATATCCTCAAGGCTAAGGTGCTGGCATAATACAGGAAATTCCAAATGAAAGTTCTCTCTACAATTGTGGCCCATAGGGGGGTTGACCCCCAACTCACTGCCCCTCCCACAAGATGAAAAAGTCATAGTGTATTTTTAAAGTACTTCATTTTCATATTTAAATGCAAGGTCCAAAACCATTAATTCACACAATATTTAAAAAATATCTTTCTTTTAGAAAATGTGTCAAGAATTAATATGGAATTCTGCATATGTCTATCAAAGACATCATAGAATAGTAGATTCAAAGAATTTCCTAATTGAAATCCTGAACTTTAAGTATTCTAAGACTTTCATTTTTCAAAGGTTCAGAGAACTTAAGTGATTTACCTGTAGTAAAGCAGCCAGTAGTGGATAGATCAGGAAACCACTACATACAATTATATTACATCTATTAAAATAAGGCACTGAGTCCCACAGGGTATAGTCCTAATACTTACTGTATTAAAATTATACTTTGTCTGTCTATTAAATATTTACATTTTAAATGTCTGTTAATTTAGAAGTCTAATAGTTTCCTCTTAAACAAAACTAAAACATCACTCTGTAAATTCATATCTTCAGAAAAACCGGTGCTGCAGTTGTTACACACTACAAACTACATTTTACAAACCACATTATAATACTCTAAGTGTAGAGTAATCAAATGTCATCACATATAATTAAAGATAAATTCAATGTGTCAAAACAGAAGATCAAAGCACTTTTAATACTGCAGGGCCATCATTTTCAATGGGCCTGTTCCTTGATCATGCCTTTAATTCACACAATTCAGTGAATCACAGTGCCTCTTCCTGCTATAGTGGAAATAAGCTCCCAATGAATCCTATTTTTTAAAAAACAGCAAGCATATAAAATATTCTCAAGCCAAGTCTGTGAAAAACTTAATGCATCACCAGTTTTCTATTAAATCTGATCCTGGAAAAAATAGACAAGATGTTGTTTTCATTTCTTTCTTTCTTTTTTTTTTTCTTTTTCTTTTTTTTATTGAGACAGAGCCTCGCTCAGTCACCTAGGCTGGAGGGCAGTGGTGCAATCTCGGCTCACTGCAACTTCGGCTTCCTGGGTTCAAGCGATTCTCCTGCACCAGCCTGCCGAATAGCTGGGACTACAGATGCCCGCCACCACGCCCAGCTAAGTTTTATATTTTCAGTAGAAATGGGCTTTCACTATGTTGGCCAGGCCGGTCTTAAACTCCTGACCTCGTGATCCACCCGCCTGGGCCTCCCAAAGTGCTGGGATTACAAGGCTGAGCCACTGCGCTCGGCTTTTTTTTCATTTCTAAATATTCTGACCTAAGCATACATTTATTTTTGAGTTACAGGAAGAGTTCTTGGCTTCAAATACGGCAAGTAACTAGATAATCTGACTTACCTGGTATTTCCTGTTTGTTGGTTATTACTGGGTTTTTACTGTTTGTTTGCTTGGTTTGGTTTTAATATCTACTATGACAAATGCCAACTGAGCAATTCAATAAGAAATAACTAAGAATAATATCACTTGGCATTACATAAAAACCTCCCACTTCAGTTATTTTATTCCTCTAAACTTTGGCTGAACCACACTGGCTGTTATTTCGCTGAGGAAGAGATTGCCAAGTTATCCACAGGCACATACACACAGACAAACCACAATATGGTGAATGTCAGCCGTTACTCCTAAGAACCTCTTCACTAAAATATGTGCTGACTAATGAGGAGTTATTCAGTTAAGTTCAGATAAATGTAGAGTTAAAATAGGCCTTCAGAGATAAATAATCAACTGAGACAGTAATTGCCCCCAGATAATACTTATGAAAGTCAATACTAAGGAAACCTGTATATTAAATGTTCTTCATTAAAATAGGAAACGAACGATCTTCTAAGCATTCTTGAAGCTACCAATTTAAAATTCTAAATAATAAATTCAATCTTACCATGGACCTTTACAAATAAGTAGCAGACTTCAAGGAAATCAGAGCCTCTAAAAGGCTACTACAATGTATCTTTTCACATGCTGACTTTAAAAGGAAAAGCTTCTTATTTGTATTAACTATTAAAAACAAAACAATTGAACTTAGGGACATAGAGAGTAGAAGGACGGTTACCAGAGACTGGGAAGGGTACTGGGGACTTAGCAGGAGGTGGAGATGGTTAATGGATACAAAAAACAAAATAGTTAGAAGTGAGTAAGACCTACTACTTGATAGCAAAACAGGGTAACTACAGTCAATAATAACTTAATTGTACACTTCAAAATAACTAAGAGTGTAATTGCATTGTTTGTAATACAAAGGATAATGCTTGAGGGGATAGATATCCCATTCTCCAAGATGTGATTATTACACATTGTATGTCTGTATCAAAACATATCATGTACCTCATAAGTATATACACTAACTATGTACCCACCAAAATAAAAATTAAATAGAAGGGGGCTGGATGTGGTGGCTACAAACATTAGCCCGGCATGGTGGTGTGTGCCTGTAGTCACAGCTACTTGGGAGGCTGAGGCAGAAGAATCACTTGAACCCGGGAGGCAGAGGTTGCAGGCAGTGAGCCAACATCTTGCCACTGCATTCCAGCCTGGGCAATAGAGCAAAACTCCATCTCAAAAAAAAAAAATAGTAATTATAAGGAGCCATAGCAAATCTCTGGATTAGTCACTTTCTAACAACTATGCTTATTTGATAATAAAAGGATAATAAGAGATCTTTTCTTGACAACCTAAGATATTTCCAATCTTGAGAAACATGTTTTTAAAAGACAAAGATCTTTTATGCTAACTGCCCACTAAAATACCATGTCAGATGAAAAAACTATTTGGGACTCTGTATATGAAAAATAGATCGAACATTATTGCAAAGGGTTTCCTCAGAGAAATCATGAAATTACACATGTCGATTAGTACAGAATTCACAGTGCATGCTCCATATTATATTATGCTTTGAAGTATCCAATTTCCTTCAAGATTCAATAAAACAAAACAATGCTTCTATTGTTACTATGGTATTCTTTGACCTCCTTAATTACTGAGAGTTAATTAATCTGATATGTCCTTCTCTGTTTGTTTTAAATCATCTCCTTAACCCATGGGATATGTAAGAACTTTTACTTATGAATATTTTTAATTTGTATCACAGGCTAAGTATTATGTGCTTAGGAGTGTGGGGAATAAAAATTACCAAAATAAATCATCTCTGTCTATAAGGAATTTACAATCTAGTTTGGGAAAGAGGACTCAACATTCACACACAGCACCATAGCACGTAGGTGCACACTATGTGCACCCAAATGCACATACACACACAGAATTAAACTACAAAAAAAATCAAGGTACAGAAGAAACAGTTATACAAACCCAACAGAGCCATTATACAAAATTAAGGGCCTTTTCTTTTCTTTTGAGACAAGGGCTGGCTCTATTGCCCAGGCTGGAATGCAGTGGCATGACCTCAGCTCGCTGCAACCTCTGCCTCCAGGGCTGAAGCCATCCTCCTGCCTCAGCCTCCTGAATACCTAGGACTATAGGGACGCACCACCACACCCAGCTAATTGTTTTTCTTTTTTTTGTAGAGACAGGGTTTCACCAGGTTGCCTAGGCTGGTCTGGAACTCAAACAATCCAGCCAACCTTAGTTTCCTAACGTGTTAGGACGACAGGCATGAGCCCGTTTCTGGCTGGGCCTTTACTTTTCAAAGCTGTCTGTGTCACAAAAGCCAAGGAAAAGTTAAAAAGCTGCTATATTAAAGGAAACTAAATAGACATGGCAAGAAAATTCCTATTCCCCCAATCCTTAGATTAGTGAAAAAACAACTATAAAGGTCATACAGGGATAAAAGGCAAATTTGAATGTGGATTCTACGTTAAACTATGATATACTGAACTTGATCAGTTACTGTTATTCTCTTCATACATGTTATATATGCCTCTTATTTACATAAGAGAATGCCTGTTTGTAAGAGACACATAGTATAATATTTAGCTTAAAGGGTTGCAACCTCTGCAATTTACTAACAGTTCAGAACAAAAGTATAGTAATATGTATACATGTGTATTAGAAGACAAGGAGGAAATATGGCAAAATGTTAACAGTGGATAAAGCACACCATATGAATGGCTGAAGGGAGCTGACTGTTCTATACTGGCAACTTTTCTGTATGCTTAAAATTTTTTCAAAATATATTTTTTAACTCCATGAACATTTAAGCTTAAAAAAAATCTTGGAAATCTATCTAGTACAGTTCTCAACCTAACTTTACAATTGCGGAAACAGACCTGACAATTAGATCAGTGCTTTCTTAGCTTTTTGTTCTTTACCCCAATCAGTAAAACATTTTGGGCACGCACTCCCTCAATGTAAGTATTTTTATTATTTATGTTTTCTATTTGGGTACCAATTTATTGTGTATGTTATAAGACATACACAAAAAGTAAAATGTATACAGGATGAGATAAAAATATTTGTAAATTTCTAATTTTTCTTCTTGCATCAGAGTGGAGTACCATGGAGCATCCTTTCCTCCTGCCCTTACCTTGGTGATCACTGATAGCTCAGCACAAAAGAGGGATTTATAACATATATGAATAGAATGTCATGGAAGATTTTATGCTGATGTGATTTATGTGGTACCTGAAGCATTCCAGGGCTTAGAAGAGTAGGTAGAGATGAGAGAAAGGCAGAGAATCCAGACTAAACAAAGATTGACAAAAGGCAAATAAACAAAAATCATAGAAACTTTGACAATTCATACTGAAAAGCAGTGACACAGAGGATTAAAGGATAGCTCAGTGATGAACTGCAGAATTGCTTAAACCATAGGTAACGAGGAATCTTTGAAGGGTTAGGAGGGTTAAAATAAGAACATGTCGGGACGGGTGCGGTGGCTCACGCCTGTAATCCCAGCACTTTGGGAGGCCAAGGCGGGTGGATCACAGGGTCAAGAGATCGAGACCATCCTGGTCAACATGGTGAAATCCCGTCTCTAATAAAAATACAAAATATTAGCTGGGCATGGTGGCGTGTGCCAGTAATCCCAGCTACTCAGGAGGCTGAGGCAGGAGAATTGCCTGAACCCAGGAGGCGGAGGTTGCGGTGAGCTGAGATTGCGCCATTGCTCTCCAGCCTGGGTAACAAGAGCGAAACTCAGTCTCAAAAAAAAAAAAAGAACATGTCTTGAAACCAACAATGTTTACAATAATCAATATGTGGCAGTGTTTTGCAGAATTAATTCAGAAAGATAGATATTACTAGATTACTCATAAGAAACTGCCATAACTTCTAAGAACCAAACTAAATCTTTAATAAAAACCCAGCCCTGCCTGATTTTTCTACTTGCCTGTATTATATAACTACAGAACTGGGTGGTTTTACATCACCAAGGTAGTTTTCCATAAAGAGATATACCTAAAAATTTTCAGCACAGGCCACTTATTTGTCATTGTTATTTCAAATCCAAACTGCCAGCTGGTCACAACTTTCTCCCAAAATATAAGAAAATCAAATAGTTGATGTGCTTGTTGCTATAAATGAGAATTAAAAAACAAAAGCTAAAACTAAAGACTATTAGCTCTGTAGGTTCTTCTTAGACAAATCATTGCTGAGCTTTTAAATAAAGTTTAAGTATCTCTTAAACATCATTATATGTAGTAAAAACCAATGCCTAGTGTCTGCTTTTTCCTAATTTGATAATATTTTGCAGTGAAAAAACGCTAACAAATTTGTATAACTTTTGTACTTTGTAACATGTTAATATAAAGCTGTTCAAATGGTATCTTTGTACCTCAGCATAAATTCATTATTTGCTCTTACTCAGACTGATACTGACATAAGAAGGCCTACATAGGACTACATTAACATTGACATAAGATGTCTATATGAGAGAAACAGCAAAATATGGGGCTTTATCTTTTTTTCTCTTTTTCCTTTTTATATAAAGACCAATGAGATTTGAGCTTACTTACATAATGGATAAATTAAACACAATATATTAAATACCAAGAAAATTTTAACCCTTGAGTTGGCTGAGACCATTATTTTAACCACTTCATCACTTAGTTCTGGATCCTCACTTGTGATAAAATTCAAGAATTTCCTTTCCCAAATTATGTTATAAATGAGTCACATAACCAATACAGTAGTAATAGTATTAGACAGTTTCTACAGATGAAGAGACAGGGTCTCTCTCTCTCTCTCACCCAGGCTAGAGTGGTAATTGTGATGTGGCAATAGCTCACCGCAGCCTGAAACTCCTGGACTCAAGCAGTTCTCACCAGTGCCTCCAAAGTGCTGAGACTATAGGCTCGTGCCACCACATCTGGCTAATTTAAAAAATTTTTGTAGATATGGGATCTCACTATGTTGCCTGGGCTGGTCTCAAACTGCTGGGTTCAAGTGATCCTCCTGCCTCAGCCTCCCAAAGAGCTGGGATTAAAGGCATAAGCCACCACACCTGGCCCTCTACTCCCTGTTTAGTAATCATTTGGTTTAAAAAAAACACAGAAGCAGAAGCAAAATATGGGGCTTTATCAAGAAAGTGAAAGAAGGAAATATTGATAAAGACTGAGATGGTCCACAATAATTTTAATATAAACAAAGATTGCTGTTCTTTAAAAATGACTATTGTAGCAGACACAGAATCTCTATGAAAAACCAAAGTACTGAATGGTCAAGGTGTAATCATTTCCTTTATGAAATGGTCTTCTCCTTTGATAACATCCTAGTAACTCTATAAAACCCAAGATAAAAGGTGACATATGGGGCTCTTCAATAATGTATATGTTCATTGTCATATTTATGTTTGTAAATATATAAATTATATTTACATTTATTACAATATGCTACTGCATGTTGAATAATATTGCTTTTGATGGTGAACTGGGTGTTTAACACCTCTTTACAATTTTTTCTTTTTTTAAATTGAGGTATAATTTTCTTGAGCTACAAAAAGCTGCAAATATTTAAAGTGTACAATTGGGGCCAGGCGTGGTGGCTCCTGTCTGTAATCCCAGCACTTTGAGAGGCCAAGGTGGGCGGATCACCTGAGGTCAGGAGTTCAAGACCAGTCTAGTCAACATGGTGAAACCCCATCTCTACTAAAAATACAAAAATTAGCTGGGCATGGTGGCGTGTATCTGTAATCCAGCTACTTGGGAGGCTGAGGCAGGAGAACTGCTTGGACCCGGGAGGCAGAGGCTGCAGTGAGCCAAGATTGTGCCACTGCACTCCAGCTTGGGTGACAGAGTGAGACTGCATCTCAAAAATAAGTAAATACAATAAAATGTACAATTGGATACCCTTTGGATTATGTATATACCTGTAAACTATCATCACAGTTAAGATAGTGAAAACATCCGTAACCTCCTAAAGTTTTCTTGTGCCTCTTTGTAATTCCTTTCTCCTCCTCTACTCCTTATCTCTAGGTAACCACTCATCTGCTATCATTATGATCATTATGAATTGTTTTTCATTTTCCAGAATGTTATATAAGTGAAATCACACAGTGAGTATTCTTTTTTGACTGACTAATTTCTCTAGGCATGATTATTTTAAGTGCCATCCATGTTGATACATGTACTAATAATTAATTCATTTTATTGTGAATAGTATTCCATTATACCAATATATTATAGTTTGTTTATCCATTCAGTTGTTGATGGACGTGTGGGTGACTTCACTCTTGGCTACTATAAATAAAGCTGCTATGATATTTATGTACAAGCCCTTGCATGGACATATGCTTTCAATTATTTGGGGTAAAAAAGCTAAATGAAATGGCTGAAGAATATGCTGGGTATATGGTTAACATTTTAAGAAACACCCAAACTATTTCTTCTTTTTTTTTTTTCTTTTGAAACAGAGTCTCGCTCTGTCACCAGGCTGGAGTGCAGTGGCACGATCTTGGCTCCCTGCAATCTCTGACTGCCTGGTTCAAGCGATTCTCCTGCCTCAGCCTCCTGAGTAGCCAGGATTACAGGCATGCGCCACCACACTCGGCTAAGTTTTGTATTTTTAGTAAAGACGGGGTTTCATCCTGTTGGCCAGGATGGTCTTGATCTCCTGACCTCGTGATCCGCCCACCTCAGCCTCCCAGAGTGGTGGGATTACAGGCATTAGCCACTGCGTCTGGCCAAGAAACTGCCAAAGTATTTCTTAAAATAGTTGTACCATTTTACATTCCCACCTGCAGGGTTTAAGAGTTAGTTCCTCCACATACTCACCAACATTTCCTATGGTCAGTCTTCTTAATTTTTTCCTTTTATTTTTAGTTGACATCTAGTAATTGTACATATTTATAGAATAAGAAGTAATATTTGATGTGGTGTCGCAGTGCACTTTTCATTTCCCTAACAATAACACTGAGGTTTTCATGTGAGTATGGTCTCCAACTTCTGAGCTCAGGTAATCCTCTCACCTCAGCTTCCCAAAGTGCTGGGACTACAGGTGTAATCTACCATGCTCTGCCCAATGTCTATTTTTTGTTGTTGGGTTGTTTGAATCCTTACTGAATTCTGAGAGTTCCTTATATTTTGAATATAAGTCCTTTATCATGATATATTTTGCAAATATCATCTCCACAAATCTGTGGCTTGCCTTCTCATTCTCTTTTCAAGAGCAGAAATTTTAAATTTTGATAATGTTCAACTTATCAATTTGTTCTTTTATGGGTTGTGCTTTCGGAGGTATGTATAAGAAATCTTTTCCTATGTCAAGATAACAAAGATTTTCTCCCTATGTATTCTTTAAGGAGTTTTATAGTTTTAGGTTTTACATTTTAGTCTATGATCTGTTTTGAGTTAGTTTTTATAAGGCATGTGATATAAATAAATTTTTTTCACATGAATATCCAATTGTTTTAGCACCATTTATTGGCCTTTCACCCATGATTTGCCTTTATATCTTTGTGAAAACTCAGTTGCCCACGTATGTATGAAACTGTTTCTGGACTCTGTTCTCTCCCACTGATCTGTTTCTCTACCTTTATGCCAATACCCTGCCTTGATTGCTCTAGTTTTTTAAGTCTTAAAATCAGGTAATGTTAGTTCCTCTTTTTCTTTTTTCTTTTGTTTTTGTTTTTTGAGGCCAAGTTTGGCTCTTGTTGCCAAGGCTGGAGGGCAATGGTGAGATCTTGGCTCACTGCAACCTCTGCTTCCTGGGTTCAAGCAATTCTCCTGCCTCAGTCTCCCCAGTAGCTGGGATTACAGGCCCCCATCACCATGCCTGGCTAATTTTCGTACTTTTAGTAGAGACAGGGTTTCACCATGTTGGCCAGGCTGGTCTCAAACTCATGACCTCGGGTGATCCACCCACCTCGGCCTCCCAAAGTGCTGGGATTACAGGCACGAGCCACAGCGCCCACCACTTCTTCCGCTTTACAATATTTTCTTTTGACATAAGATGCTACAGTAATAGAAATAAAGTTATGGAATTTTTTATTTATAACTGCATGAACCCTAGACCTATTTCTCTATTTCAAAGATAAAACCATTAATTTTAAAAGCTAAGCAATAAATCTTAAAAAGGCAAAGTGCAGACTTCAGTAGAATTTATCATCTCTACTACATATTAAGCATTGTGCAGGTACCATCACTCAGCTCTTTTGTTTAATAGTCTGTGGTTTAAACAAACAGCCACAGTTTTAAAAATGATAATATGTATTTACAGAGTATATATTTAACATCTATGATGTACTCCTAAGTATAACAGTCTCCAGTCAAAAGAAATAGAAGATAATGTTTCTATCACACTGATATCTACTTGGGAAAAAGAGAACAGACATAATACAATTTTTAAAAAACTTTAATAAATCAACATGAAAATAATAATAGTAGAAGCTTCGTTCAAAAGTACTGTGGAAAAATGGGGCCTGATGGGATGGGATTACCACAAAGACTCCTTAAAGAAAATTATAAATCAGATTTGGGAGAAATATTAGTGAGATTAGGGGAAATGAGATCAGTTGGTAGGAAAAGGCATGATGTTATTTAAGAAATATTATCTTAGTAGCAGCAGTAGCACAGTGTTAAAAGGGAGAATGACTAATTTAGAGAAATCAGGGAGAAAACTATTGCTATAATCCACGCATTAGGGGTTGGGGGCCCACCACCCAGAGTAGTGGCTACTAAAATGTCTTGTGATACACAAAGAATCTGAAAGCAAAAGTATTCCTTCACTTAAAATGTTCAGATCTATTAGAAATCATAGTTTAATGCTGTATTTTAACTGCATTTGGATATTTTTAAACCATATACAAATTACAATTGCATTTTTAAAAATTTACTTTTGTAGGGCAAAAACAACTTTCTACGCTCATCTTGAACAGTAGTGAGGCCTGGGGGTTGCAAAGTTGTTTACAGTGAACTCTGAGGGACTCCCATTGCCAAATCTGCCCACATTGTACCTTCATGTTTATAAAATGGCTAGCCGTACTTTCTTTTTTTCTCCTTCAGCAAAATTAGTAGACTAGCTTTTAGCATATGGAAGCATTTTCACATTGCAAGTTCTGGCGGTGGGGGGAAGGAACAATTTGCAAATGCCATCAAATGAAATGTGCACTTTCAGATGAGGCTGATTAGACAGTTTCATGTGGCAAAAGTTGTATTCAATAAGTCTCTTCCTTTTTTCAAGAAGGAAATGCTCAGATTTGCATAAAATACAGCATGGTGATCAAGGAAGGCGTCTTAAAAACAGTGTAGATTTTCAGAAAAGCACTTTTATTTGAGTGTCCAGGACTGAAATTCAAATAGATTTAATTTTTATTTTAAACTCCTTTTAAAAATATTAAAGTAGTGGCAACAGGAACAAAGTAGAATAGGGCAGTGGGTGGAGAAAGCAACAGTCTTTTGAGGGCTACACTCAGATTTCTTCCTGACATTTTTTCATGCCTCCGCACCTCCTTCACACTGTCTCTCCTCCCACTTCTCTACTTATTTTACCTTTAAACTCACCAGGGAAGAAAAGTAGGATATGTATGGGAAGTATGGGATGTGTAAAGAAGAAAACTAAAAGATGCAACAGAGCTATCATTGGCTTTATGAGCAGGCCCTTACAAGTCACCTAGAGGAAGAAACACACAGGCTGGAGGGATTAACTGAGGTGCTATTTAATTGACATTCTTTATTTTCCCAAAGAAATATATTTATATGTCATTACCTGTAAGGATAAAAGGTAAGAATCAAGAGCTTTAGCCTTTTTTGCTTTCTTAGTTTCTCTAATTCAAATATTCCAGTACTAAAGACAGGAATCTTGGCTGAAACCCCTACATACACAAATAAAAAGAAAAACTCTTTTTTGTATAATACTAGTAAGTTAGCACAAGAAAACAAAAAATGTGAAAATAATAGCCCAAACTATAGACTGATATTATAAATCATCCTAAAACACAATCTTAATAGAATTTGAGATAGCTACAAGGAAAAGTCAAATGCTCTTCTTATTAAACTCTATGACCAAACATTCTACTTACGGCTTTAGAGGGAAAATAGGAAGAGGTACAAAAAGGCACAGAAATAGAAAAAGCTGTAAAAGAAAATGCAAGGGAATATTGGTAGAAACTAGTAATGTAAATATAATTCTATCTTATCAAGATCACAGAACTAAATTTAAACTGACCGAAAGAACTGGAGCTTTAATTCCCATGGGCTCTCAGGCTTTGTTCTCTAGGGCTTGTACAAAGTATGCCAAGAATATTATGGAACACAACCATAATGTTATTTTTAGGCACTATGTGTACTTATATTTTGATTGATATCATTACCTGATTTTAAATTTCCTTGGCGAATAACAAGAAGAAGCTAACACAAAATTTCAATGATTGACCTTTCTTTGTGAATCAAATCCATAAAACTTTCAAGAAGGAGAAGATAAAAGTAAATTCCTTATTCAACTTATCTTTGCCAAAGGGCTTGGCCAGGCCCATAGCTAAGGATCAGAGACCTTGAATTGCTTGCTACGTAATACCTGTTCTGCACTAGGCAACTCTGAAAATTTTGCTTTGATAGTTCAAGGCTAAAAGCCAATTTTGATAGTTGGCCAGAGGGAACTTTTTAAAATTAATCTCTTCATACAGCAATGTTTCTTCAGGAAAATAACAAAATGTAGTTCCCAACTGTCCTGTAGTCCCAATTCATCCTCATGAATGTCTCTGGCAGTTAAAATTCATTCAAAAAGGATTTTTTACAGCTGAGTCAAGATTTCTAGTTTTTCAATCAACCAGCATACATTCATAGCACACTACAATAAAGATACAAGAAGTAAAAGGATTTTGCTCTCAGAAAATTGGAATTCTAGTTGGAAAAACATATTCACCCACTTAAACTAATTAAAAATAAAGAAAGGTACTGTTTGCTACTGAGTGTTAATACAATGAGAATTCAAAGATTAAAATCTAGAGTTGAGTCAAGTGCAGTGGCTCACACCTATAATTCCAGCACGTTGGGAGGCCAACATGGGAGGATCACTTGAGCCCAGAGGTTCAAGATCAGCCTGGGCAACACAGGGAGACCCCACTACTACAAAAAAAATTTTTTTAATCATCTGGGCAAGGTGACATGCACCTGTAGTCCCAGCTACTCAGGAGGTTGAGGCAGGAGGACTGCTTGAGCCCAGGAGGTCCAGGCTGCAGTGAGCTATAATCATGCCACTGCACTCCAGCTGGGCAACAGAGTGAGAGCTTGTCTCAGAAAACAAACAACAACAACAAAAATTAAGCAAAAACAAAAATAACTGGAATGGGCCATAGAAGTCCAAATTGTGTTTATGAAAGAAGTGGAGGGAACATAAAGAGACTTCAGTAAAGAACAAGAATTAATAAGATTTGGAAAAGCAAGTAATATAAGCATTACAGGTGAGAGAATAAAGCATTAAAGTAAGAAAGTAAAACTGAACATGGTATTAGGGCTGGGGATAAGGTCTGGTCCGTTAAATCAAGTTTATCCTAAAGTTGCCTTCTTACATATTTTCAGTTTAGCCTAAAGGTTTCTCTATACAATGTGAACTATAACCTAAAAGGATGTGTAAACAGAATGTAACCTGCTCTTGTGACAATCACTGAGTTTGGGCCAAAGGGTGCCAACTGTTCAAATCATGTTCAGATAAGGCAAATGTGCAGCTATAACAAATCCAGCTGTTTCTTGTACCTCACTTCTGTGCTTCTGTATGTCACTTTCCTTTTTCTGTCCATCAGTCTTTCAGTACATGGCTGCACTGGAGCCTCTCTGAGCCTACTCTGGTTCAAGAAGCTGCCCAATTTGTTCAATTAAACTCTGTTAAATTTAATTTGGTTAAGGATTTTCTTTTACCAGATCTAAGGTGTAAACAACCAGTTTAAGTAAAATAGGTGTGTTTGTTAAGGTTTATGGTTGAATAAATATGGTGAGGCTGGTTTATGGAAGGCTTTGAATGCCAAAGAGACCAACGGACACTTGATTAGGCTAATGAAAATCACAATTGGTTATTAATAAGGGAAGCAGAAGCATAAATTTCTTTTGAAAGGGTGGTTTTACAAACAGCATGCAGGTAAGGATTGGAAGCCAGCAAAAAAGATGATGGAGCCTGTTAGGTGCAAAGTGATAAGAACCTGAACTTGAATAACAGCATTCATTTGTGCACCATTCAATAATAATTATTGAATGTCTGAATGTTCATCATTCACATGTGAACAAGACAGATATGATATTACTAGCCCCCAGAAACCATTAGGTAACAAATGTTCATTGTTTTAAGTGGCTAAGTTTTAGGGTAATTTGTTATGGCAAAAGATAACTAATACAGATGTGAAAACAGTAAGGGAAATACCAAATAAGGTCAGAAAAGTAGGATAGAAACCAAAAAAGCATACTACTGTTGAAGACCAAAAATTAAAAGTTTCAACGTATAGTAGACTGGTAGTCAGTATCAGATATAAAAGAGGAAAACCACCATGGCACGTGTATACCTATGTAATAAAGCTGCACGTTCTACACATGTATCCCAGAACTTAAAGCATAATTAAAAAAAAGATGGATATAAGATGAGCATTTTTTTAAAAGTTGTTAAAATTGATACAGTTCACAACTAACTAAAAATTAGAAGACATATACAAGTACTTACCATAATTGATGACCAAATTGTTTTTTTCCTTAAAAAGAGAATGAATAGGAAAAAAGTGTACACAGCTGATAAGCACCTCAAATGTAAACAATTTATATTTCTACGCCTATGGGTCAACCATTAACTGATGTATATGTATAAGTGTAAGTATAAGTCTCGTGTATGGTAGTGAGTTTAAACCAAAATTTCACTTCTGCTTTGATCTAATACCCTAACTTTAGGCCTATACTCTCCTTACAACAAAAGAAGAAGCTTGGAATTTATTCAATCCTTTATCATATCACCTACCATATGGTGCTATAAATGATTTACATATTCCCTATCCTAACTACATTAAAAGTTCCTCCAAAGTAGGAATCTTTAGTTTATTCATATTTGAAATCTGAGTACATAGACCAATACCTAGCCCGTAAAAGATGCTCAGTTGCTAATTGAAAGTTACTGTATTTAGTAGAAAAACAAGGGATTTCTAAACATATACACATACCAGCTATCATTTTTGAGCTCTTAGGAGCTTTCTACCATTTCTGTCTCTACCGAATAGTATCTCTTCATTGCAATTCCCTAAAATTTAGCCTTGTCCCATTTGTCCACTTTAGAACACTAGTCAAGGTCCTTCTGCAAGACTTTCATGAATTTCATGGTCTTCACTTCTGCTGTATTTAATATTCAATCCTAACTTAGTTATAATACAAACCTTCATTTCCATTATATTGAACTGAATAGTCCTGAATCCATATTCTTTCATGTTTTTCTTCCCAGATCATCTCAAATTTTGACTTGTAATGTCAAAATATTTATTTGAATCTAAAATTCCATATTCCCTTGTGTACACAAGTTGATAATTGCCTGAATAAAGTCATTAAGTGGCTATATTTAGAAGAAATTTAAGTAGAAACATAAGAAATAAGAAAATGAGGTGAAGTTATAAAACTTAGCATTTAAAATAAACACTGGATGCTTACTTTTTAAATGTTCATTTGCGAAACAACTAAATATTCAATTTTTAAAACGGTCCTGATACACCAAATTAATCTAAAACTTTGCCATTTAAAATATAAATAGGCTACTACTGATCTTAAAGAGCTATAATCAGGACAAATTCTTACATTGAAAATGTTTGTGGGCATTTACTCAGAACAGCTGCCACCCAGGATGACTAAAATAACACAAATTAGATGTAATTGAGTTAAAGGACCACACCAGGTTTGTAATTCAATTTGTCCTATGTGGTTTGGATTTGGGTTTTCTTTTTCCCCTCCAGCAAACCACAGTTTGAAAACTTCATCAAATGGGAAGTACAAAGGAATAGGAATATATAATGCAAATGTTTATCATGAACAATTTACATAAAAATCCACTTTAACAGTTTGGACCAAGTTTGTGTGTCTGTGTGTGTTTTAAGTGTGATGGCAGCAAACACTTGTTTGAATTTCCTTTGAGGGTCCTATTCACTAAAACTTCTTGCTGCCAATTTCTCATTTTATCACAATTTATTCTAGCTGTAAAGTAAATTTTATTTTGATCTAATTTCCTAAATTTGCACACTATTTACCTAGAAGTACAAAGCAGAATCCAGCTTGAATTCAAACTCACTTATAGACTTCAGTCCAAAATCCTTTCATTAACGAAAGACAAGGGTAGAGCCAGAATTTTGACTAGAATGTACCTTTCAGCAGCCTTAGATATGGTTGATTATAAGTTGCTGATAGATATGGCTGATTACATTGTCATCACTGTGTTAATTTTGATTTCTATATGTCTAGCCAGCATAGACCTGCCCCTAGAAGAATGTTTAGATAAGATGTCCTGAAACTAACCAATCCCTACCCTTGTTGGGATCTACTCATATAAGAGAATGATCACTGAAGGACGTTTAGGAAAAGGGTTCAGCTTAGAAATTTATCGTTGCTTCTCACCATGCCCTTTCCATTGGAAGTCATGGGTTTGAAGCAAAATTTGAGATAACGAGTTTTCCCAATGAGTATTTTGTTCAAGCACCTCTCAATGCATGACACGATAATAGTTCCACATAAACCCAAAGGATCTGATGTGATTAACAGGCTTCATTTCAGAAAATCTTGTTCGACAAGATTTCTCTGATAATTACAGGTTAAGCAGCCCACAGCAATAGGACTGTGTATCAACCTGATAACCAATAAAAAAATCAAACTTACCCTCTTTTAATATTGATTACATAAAGTATTTGAATTCTTGCCAGTATGTAAAAGTCAGTTTTCTCTGTGTAGATAATGTATGAAACTATTATTAAGGCAAACTCTTGCCTCTGCATTTTTTACTTTGGCAGATACAGACATGAAAGGCACCTAGCCTAATAATTCTTCCTTGTATAACATTCCAGGACATATCATAAGCCTATCCCCTCCAAAGTCTAGGCCCTTCCCAGCTTTCCTAAGACTTTAAAACCACACCCAAGAAACTTAAGCTTCTTAGGTTGTTCAGATAGTATAGCTGTCAATCACATCAAATAAAGAGGGAAATGGCTTTTTAGAAATCATATCTTATTTAACAATATTGATGTCAAGGAGAGAGAATTTTTTTTCTAAACTAAGAGAACTAGCTACTCATCTGTCTTCTCCCTGTTATCTGACACGACCTGAGGTATGCCATAAATCTTCCTAAGAGACAAGACAGAGAAGTACTACTGGTTAATTATAGGGGTCTCCTGAACAAACCAGATGCTGAGTACAACATGTTTAAGATTATTGCCAGTCAGAACACGCACAAGGCATTCAAATGATCTTGGATGCCAAATTCTTGTTTTTGTTTCTCCCCAAAAATGTGGTAACATTTGTGTTACAGGTAGAAAAATGTACTATTGTGGCAATGCTAGCTTCTATTTTAAATTCATTCACAGTGAAAGCTGTATCTATATTTTAAAGGTTTGCCTCAATAAATCTAAAATTACATAGCCATTATCATTTTACAGATGGGAAAATTAAAGCATAGAAGAGTAGTGTGACTCATCAAAGGGCAAATATTAAGATTGTGCTTACATACTAGTTGCAGAATAAACGTCCAACTATTCCCCGAGGGAGGATGAACTAAGCAGTCATATAACACACAACAGTCAGAAAGAATAAAAAATGTCCAAGAGGAAGTCTGGAATACATCAAGAGCTATGTATTCTTCAAAACAAAAAGCTCAAATTCTATCTTTTATAATTCATTCCCATCTTTCCATTTTCCAGATTTTCTAAAATACTATTAAACTGTCTTTATTTTAATAGTAATTTACTTCTATGTACAAAGCTGCAATTCAGTTTACTTTTGCAGACAAGGAAATGAAAAATAACAGATACAAAGCAAGTCAGTGGTATCCTCTCTAATTTCTTTCTTGGTTACTTGACTGATTTGAATTATAAAGTTTAAGAGAAATTTTAAAAGTAACCTTTTTTTTTTTTTATCTGCAAACCATATTCCAAGATCAACTCTCAAATCTGCAGATAGAAAACATAGTCTACTAGTACAAGAAGTGTAACAAATTTAAATTTAGAACTAGCCAAACACAAGTAATCTTTTTAAATTCATATGAAACTGCTGAATAAGGAAACAGACCTTTCCTTACAATATCAATTCAAAATGCTTTGCCTCAGCTGAGCCTCATCTGAAGCCCTCCAGAGCAATTTACCTACTGAGCTATAAACATGAACAGTTCATTTCAGTACAGGTTATACTTAGAACAAGTTTCATATGTGTTTAAAAATACTTTATGGAATATATAGTTTTAAAATTATAATCTTTAATAGTTTTAACATCATAACAGAATAGTTCACAGATGTAGAAAATACACAGCAAACACTGCTGAACTTGCAGCAATCAAGTGTTAGTTTTGTGCACTAGTTGGATACTAAGCTTTGAAAGAATTATCGTAACACTTGGGGTGACATCATTTTGAAAAGTATGCTGAGAAAACAGTAAATTTCTTTAAACTCTTCTCTCAAGTATCTTCTTTGTCTAAATTGTTTTTCCTTTAAAGAGAAAAAATTACTGCTGGTGTGCATCAACAAAAAGAACAGTGACTTTTCACAGAGGCTAAAATCTGTTACATGTTTTCCTAACAAACAGCAACCAATCACAAGAAGGTGAGAGTGAAATTTAGAATGAGAATCTAACAGGATTATATCACAAAAAGTGTTAGAATTCAAGTAAAGTGGCAAATTTTACATATGACTTTCCATTCCAAGGTTTATCAAGATGACAGAACTCAGAGAATTTTTGAATAAACATAAAACTAAAAATATACCTTAGGGGGGAAAAAAACTAAAAGGCAGGCCACTCACTTCTATAAAGGCAAATGACTAAAAACATTAGAATCAGAAAGAGCTAGATTCACCACGGAGGGGCTCCTACAACTTACAAAACTTTGCTTTTATGTAAGTTTTTAGCACTGTTCTACCTAACATGGAACACTTTTTGTGTTCCTAAAAGAAATAATAAACAAATTCTAAATGACCTACTCTGGGTACTTCTCTCACTTTGAAGAACTTCCTTAAATACGAAATAACCACCCTACTGCTACCATTAATTTGTATAACATCTTTTTTTTTTTTTTTTCTTTAAGCGCTGATCCTGTTTATTCGGCAGGAAAACTCCACCAGCCCAGGAGGGGACAGGTGGGCTTAATCCTCCTCCTCCTCCTCCTCGTCTCTAGCTCCAGCCCCGCCCTGACCCTTCTTGGCATTCTTCCTCTTCACGCAGCCGGCCCCCATAGGGAGGGCGGAGGGAGAAGTCCATGTGCTTCTGGGAATCCAGGCGGGCAACGAAGGACCGGATGTTCACCACTTGCTTGCAGACCCTGATATGGCACTGGCGGATCAGCACGCGAGTGTGGTGGATGGACTTAGCCAAGCCCAGCTTGAAGACCTGGGTCTGCAGGCGTCTCTCTAAGAAATCCTCAATCTTCAGGCCCAGGATGTAAACCAGCTTCATCTTGCCCTCATCCAGCACCCCAATGTGGACCAGCCGCCGCAGCAGGGCATTGCCTTCCAACAGACGCCGTGAGTCCTTCTCGTCAAGTGTCAGCAGCTCCTGCACGGCCCTACAGATCTTGGTCAGGGTAAATTTGACCCTCCGGACCTCACGTTTGTTCCGGAGCCCATACTCGCCGATCAGCTTCAGCTCTTGGTCCAAATGATATTTCTTGAAGAGTCTCCGTGGGATCGCATAAGTTTTGCAACAAACCCAGCTCGGGGCCACCGGCATTCTGGCTCCACTTACCTGTCTGCACCTAAGCACAGGACCCGGTCATTGAGAAACAGCAATTTGTGTAGAATCTTTATTGAGCAGCACAAAATAACTGGCAGTGGTTATCTTTATTATTTCACAAAAGATCCCTGGGTAAAGAGTCAGAAATAATCTACCACATGTTAAAGATGGGAAAATTTAAGAGCAAAGCATGACCTGCAATCACAAAGTGAGACTGTTACGAGATGGGACTAATTCCCCAATTCCTGACTGCCAATCTTTTGTTCCTGGTATACGACGGTACCTCTTAATTATCTGAAAATTCAAAAGCATAAAATGCAAACATCTTACAAGTATTTTATCCAAAGCGCCCATTCACTTTGACTCAGTCCTACGTTTCTTAGTTTTATACAGTAAAAAAAAATTTCAAATACTAGTGGTCTAAATTGATTGTCTGTAGTTTTGTGGTTATAATATTTGGCAGTTATCAAATACTTTTGGAGGTTTACTTTGAACATTAAATGATCATTATAAATATCCTTCAAGGAAAAGTGATAAGTAGCAGCATAAGTTTTATCTATTTAAATATTATTTATTTACAGTCCTAATTAAATATAACCTAAATCAAGCATAGAAAGGTTCTTAGTTTATCAGAATGTATCCTCTGAAAATAAATTACCTAATAGAATCCTAGAGCTGTAAAAGCCCTCTAAATCACCTAATGCCTTCATTTTATGTATTTCAAATTTGCTTCTTTAATTTGGAAATTTAAATTAAGTGTTAAACAGAAGCAATGGAGGGAGGGCTTAGGCATATGGAACAGAGAAAACCAGATATATATACAGCAAAGAGTCCTGGTTACATTTAATTCCCGTCAATGTAATTGGGTGGAAGTGGGTAAAGGAGGAAGAAAGGGGAGACAGTGTTAATGCTAGTGAAGTCCTCTGAACTCGGTCCAACAAGTATTTCTAAGACAGTCTAATTTTTACGGATAACACTCCTCCCAAAACCAACAATTGTAACTTTCTTTACGTTTAATCAGAACCAATAATTGGTTACTGATATGGTTTGGTTCTATGTCTCCCACCCAAATCTCATCTTGAATTGTACTCCCATAATTCCCACGTGTTGTGGGAGGGTCCCAGTGGGAAATAGTTTGAATCATGGGGCAGTTTTCCCCACACTGTTCTCGTGATAGTGAATAAGTCTCACGAGTGCTTATGGCTTTATCAGGGGTTTTGGCTTTTGCATCCTCCTCATTTTTTCTCTTGGCACTGCCATGTAAGAAGTGCCTTTCACCTCTCACCAGGATTCTGAGGCTCCCCAGCCACATGGAACTGTAAGTCCAATTAACCCTCTTTTTCTTCCCAGTCTCAGGTATGTCTTTATCAGCTGCATGAAAACAAACTAATACAGTAAATTGGTACCAGCAGAGTACAGTGTAGCTGAAAATGTGGAAGTGACTTTGGAACTTGGTAACAGACAGAAGTTAGAACAGTTTGAGGGGCTCAAAAGAAGACAGGAAGACAAGAAAATATGGGAAGGTTTGGAACTTCCTAGAGACTTGTTGAATGGCTTTGACAAACTGCTGACAGTGATATAAACAATAAGGTACAGGCTGAGGTGGTCTCAGATGAAGATGAAGAAGATTGTTGGAACTGGAGAAAATATAATTCTTGTTACGTTTTAGCAAAAAGATGGCAGCATTTTGTCTCTGCCCTAGAGATTTGTGGAACTTTGAACTTGAGAGAGATGATTTAGGGTATTTGGTGGAAGAAATTTCTAAGCAGCAAAGCATTCAAAAGGTGACTTGGGCACTGTTAAAAGCATTCCATTTTAAAAAGGAAACAGAGCATAAAAGTTCAGAAAATTTGCAGCCTAATGATGCAGTAGAAAAGAAAAACCCATTTTTGGGGGAGAAATTCAAGCTGGCTGCAGAAATTTGCACAAGAAGGAACCGAATGCTAATCCCCAAGACAATGAGGAAATTGTCCCCAGGGCAGGTCATAGGTCTTCATGGCAGCCCCTCCCATCACAGACCCAGAAGCCTAAGAGGAGAAAATGGTTTCGTGGGCTGGGCCCAGGGTCCCCATACTATGTGCAGCCTAGGGACTTGGTGCCCTGCATCCCCACTACTCCAGCAATTGCTAAAAGGGGTCAAGGTATAGCTTGGCCCATGGTTTCAGAGGGTGCAAGCCCCAAACTTCTACATGGTGTTGAGCCTGCAGGTGCACAGAAGTCAAGAACTGAGGTTTGGGAACCTCCACCTAGATTTCAGAAGAAGTATGGAAACCCCTGGATGCCCAGGCAGAAGTTTCCTGCAGGGACAGGGCCCTCATGGAGAATCTCTGCTAGGGCAGTGTGGAAAGGAAATGTGGGGCTGGAGTCCCCACACAGAGTCCCTACTGGGGCACTGTCTAGTGGAGCTGTGAGAAGAGAGTCACCATCCTCCAGACCCCAGAATGGTAGATCCACTGACAGTTTTCACCGTGCACCTGGAAAAGCCAGACACTCAACACCAGCCTGTGAAAGCAGCCAGGAAGGAAGCTATACCCTGCAAAGCCACAGGGGCAGAGCTGCCCAAGACTATGGTAATCTACCTCTTTATCTGCGTGACCCAGCTATAAGAAATGGAGTCAAAGGAGATCATTTTGGAGCTTGAAACTGCCCCACTGGATTTCAGACCTGCATGTGTCCTGTAATCCCTTTGCTTTGGCCAATTTTCTCCCATCTGGAATGGCTGTATTTACCCAATGCCTGTACCCTCATTGTATCTAGGAAGTAACTAGCTTGCTTTTAATTTTACAGTCTCACAGATGAAAGGGACTTGCCTTGTTTCGTATGAGACTTTTGACTGTGGACTTTTGAGTTAATGCTGAAATGATTTAAGACTTTGGGGGACTGTTGGGAAGGCACGATTGGTTTTGAAATGTGAGGACATGATATTTGGGAGGGGCCAGGGGCAGAATGATACAGTTTGGGTCTGTGTCCCCACCCAAATCTCATCTTGAATTGTACTCCCAAAATTCTTACATGTTGTGGGAGGGACCCAGTGGAAGATAGTTTGAATCATGGGGGCAGTATCCCCCATGCTGTTTTTGTGGTAGTAAATACGTCTCACAAGATCTGATGGTTTTATCAGGGGTTTCCACTTTTGCATTCTCCTCCTTTTTCCTCTTGCTGCCACCATGTAGGAAGTATCTTTTGCCTTCCACCATGATTCTGAGGCCTCCTGCCCATGGAACTGTAAGTCCAATTAAACCTCTTTTTCTTCCCAGTCTCAGGTATGTCTCCATCAGCTGCATGAAAATGGACTAATACAGTTACTAAAATTTTTTTCTCTTCTAATTGTCCATATCAGACTGCTATGAGAAGAGGCAAGGGTTAAGCTAGCCCTAAAGATAATACTATATGTGAGAAGCTGAAAAAACTATGATAAATTATGTCTACTTACTAATAGGAAAAGATATCAATATCTACTGCAGAGTCAAAAAAGCAAGTTTGTAGACTGAGAGGCAGAGTAAGTATGATACTGAATCTGTGAGGAAAGCAAACAGACACACACACACACACACACACACACACACACACACACACACAGAGCAGTATCTCTAACTCAGTGCATAGAAAAAGGTCTGAAGGAACAGAAAACCAAACTGAAAATGCTTGTCATTTTCTGGCATTGGTAAGTAGGCAGCTGGCATTGAGGATGATGGTGGTGAGGGAATGTCAGAGTAGCCTTTACAAACATTCCAAATGTTTTGAAAATAATATGTTAATATATTACTTATTTAATAAGAACAAATTTTTAAAAAGAATCAGATGTGGATAAAAAGGACAAAGGTTAAGCAGGAATATGCAATGGTTAAGGAGAAGCATGACTAGGCACAGCATGAGAAGCCTCTGCTTCATCAGTAACTTAAGGTAAAGAGCTGCTATTTTCCTTCGTTCCATTTACTCCTTAAACCCATCGTCTCTGGCTCTATCCTGATGATTTTTAAAAAGCACCAATGTGAATGTGAAGGCTCATGGTCCTATGAGTTTCTAACCATTCTTTACTCCTTTGGAACATGAGATAAGGTAGGAGTAGTAGGTAGATGAGGGTAATGAGTTTTCTTTTAATTGTTGAAATTAACTACTATACCAGAAATCTGCTGTGGTTATTTTTCTCTATCCTTTAGCTATAAAAGTAAGTGCTAGCTTTTGGCTGTATAAATAGGAGGAAGGCATTCATGTAACACTGTTACAAACCAGTTTCATCACTGCTATAACTCTAGTAGCTTTTAGAATCAAGTCCTTCTTCCTGGTTTGCCCAAGAGAAATTAGTCTGCAGCCACTAATCTGAAATCTGCTCTAATGGTGATCCTACTGCTTGGTCTATGCATATGGTTTATTTCTTTTTTCAAGAGAACTCTTTGTAAAATCTTGGCTTCCTCAGTTCCTCCATACAAACAGGAGTTTGTCAGAAAAGAGTGTTCTGCATGTATGGGGCAAGGAAAGGCATGATCAAAAGCACAAGAATATAGCAAGCTCAGGGAATTATGAGGAAGCTGGTGGGACTAGAATAAATGTATATGTATGTCTGGCAACGGGGAGTAGGGGAAGGGGAAATTATGACAGATAATGAGATAAGAATAAGTAGATCAGAGCCAGACTCTGAAACCCTGGCATGACACGCTAAGGAATTTAGACTTTATCCCTTGCGTGGTAATGGGGACGCATCAAAGGTTTTTAAACGAGAGAGTGATATGATTAGAGCTGTCTTTAACGAAAGAGATTTGACAGGAGTATGGTGGATGGATTAGAAAATGGAAAGGTTAAAAGTAGATAAGCAGCTCTCCAAAAATGGAAGATGAAAAGGGCCTAAACAGGGCAATGGCTAGGAGAATGGAAAGAAGAGTATGAACAAAGTCAAAAACCAATTTTAATGATAGAAGAGACAAGACTTGTTGATAGATTGGTTGTAAAGACAGAGGGAACATAAATACTCAAGATGAATGTGATGTTTCCAGCTAAGAGGATGGAGAGGCCATTAATGACAATAGAGAGTATAGGAAAGGAGGTAGGGTGTTTGGAGAGTGTCCGGAAAAATGTGTTTGGGATTGACGGAAGTACTTACTAGGATAGCAACTCTTACTGCACTCCCAAAGGATAAGGATCTTTGTTTGCTAATTTTCTCTGTGTTGCACCTATTGCAATGCCATGTGCATTTAATTCAAGTTTATGAAAATGGTGATAATGCTAACGTATGCCAGGATAATTAAGACTTGACAGTATGTAAGATATCTCTTCAAAGTGCCTGTGTAGAAAGGAAATATGAGACAAGGTGGTTTGTTTTACTTTTCTGTCAAATTTCTTCTTTAGTCATTTCCAAAATAAATTCCCAATAATAACAGGGCTTTTAACAAGGTCCATTACTAAGAGCAACCTGTGGTAGACCACCGTACATCTCACAACTTTACATTCTACACATTCCAATAATCAAGTCACATCACCTCTAATTCTCCTTCTTGTTCAGGAACCTGTACTACCACTTAACATACTAAAACCTGCCGCACCCAATAGTCAAACATAATCAGAGCCATTGTAACACTATGGGAAAAAAGAAACAAATCATGCTGCTGTTAAAAAAAAACTTTAGGGAGGTACAGAAAAAAAAAGCACCATTTGTTCTGGTTAATGTTGTTGTGCAATGTTTTCTGGGGTTTGCCTTGTAGGCATGTTGAAATCATAACTAAATAAATCAGCTCCGGCAACACAAAGAAACAAGATTCCCTACCCCTTTGGCTGCCTGAAGGAATAATGGGATCTTCTCCATGAGGTGCACACACTTTGGAGCTGCTTTGTTTTTAATCCTCTGCCAAGTCAAGTTTTCGTTTTATTTTAATCTTAGTAACCACAGTAAATTCCAAATCTTTGACAAGTAAATGCTTTCTTCCTCAACAGAATCCCACTCACTTTCCTTTCTAACTCCTAGAGCTTAGGAGTTCAATAATGGCTGCACTACTGATCTCTTTTCATAAACAAGAAAATAAATAAATTATAAATTAGGCATATTTCCTGACATTTACATGTTAGTTTAAGTGTGAAATGGGTATGATAAAATTGTCTTCTCTGCCCATCATTAAAAAAAAATGTGTGTGTGTGTGTGTGTGTGTGTGTGTACTGTAGGGAAAAGAACAGCATAGAAAATCAGAAGATCTGACCCCGAGTCTCATTCATTTCAGTTGGCTGTATGACATTAGTTTAAAAACTTAAATTTGGTTTCCCTATGCATAAAAAAAGTTAGGCAGATATACTAGATGGTTTTCAAAGTCCCTTTCACTTTTAAATTCTGATTCATAAGATGTCTATTACCAATTTTTTTAAAACACATTTAAAAGTCACTCAAAAAAATTCCTTAAAAAACCCCTAATTTTTGGTGGTAAAATGGAATAAGCCTCAGAAATTATCTAATCTGTAGAGCTTTGAAACTACGTTTTATGGGAAATGCCTAAGCCGAGAGTTATAAACTATTTATTTCTTGGAAGGATTCCCTAGTTTAAAGAGATTGCTACCGGCTAATCTAGTTCAGCTCTGTCATTACAGATGAAGAAACTGAGATCAGGAATGAAAGAAGAAATATAACACATCCATAAAATGCTGTACCACTATTTAAAATGATGGTAAGAGAAAAGGGGTCAAGCTAAGCTAAAAAAGAAATGAGGATATAAAACTGTTTAAGTATATATTCATTTTTCAGAGTAATAAACTCATTGTATCACTTTCTTTAAAACATTCTCATTATATAAATTCAAACAATACAAAAAATACAAAGAAAAAATGCAATAAATCATCCAAAATCTCACCATTGAGAAGTAGTCTGTATTAGCATTTAGTGACCATTATTCCAGATAACTATTCACATATACAGATAGAAAATGGAAATAAATGACAGAAATAAATGTATTCTTTCTGGGATGAGATTATAGTCACTATTAAAAATAAAAAAACAACAATTCTAATGTTACCTGCAATTAACAGAAGCCAAAATGAAACTGAAGAAATTTTAAATCTTAGACAAATGTTTTTCTTCACTCAAGAAACACTGAAAAAAATCCCTCTAAGTTTAAGAAAAATGATACAAACCACAAAGAATAGATTAACTTTACTTTTAAGCTACTTTAAATTTTCGACAGTTCTGATTGAACTGCTGCCATGAATGATAAGATTAATAATCTCTTATTCCCATTTCCCTTCTACCTACCTTCCAATTGTTGTTGTATATATTTGTTTTACTTTGCCATGATGTAGAGTGTTTACAGTCTGTTCTACTGCCACAGTTTCTACAGTGTCTAAATCTTACATTTATATATGAAGGTATTTAATATCACAACAAGTTTTTGGTTTGATTCTTCTCTTGGTTGGCTAAATTTTAACAAGAAGTTCTTTTTTAGAAAGGTCTCAAAGATGCTATATTCTCTGGGTTCTTTCACATTTGAGAACATATGCCTGTGGCCTTTAAACCTCAACAATGTCTTGGCTGGGTACACTGTTCTTGGGCCATCATTTCTTTTACCAGAACTGTGTTGGCATAACTCCTGTAGTATTCCACATTGTTATGAAGTCTGAGACCAGTCTGAACTTCTTTCTTATAGATAACTTTTGCTATTCCTTACATGACTGAAGAAATCGTTCTTTTGTTTGACAACAATCAGGATATGACTTGATGTTGAACCTTCTCTACCAATTTTCAGGATTCAATTTATCTTTTGATCTGCAGGTTTAGTTCTTCTTTCAGTGAAGTTTTGCTATGTCACTTCTCCAAATACTTTTTTAGTTTGATTTGTTGGGTCCTCTTCCTCATAGACACCAGCAATTCTTTCAACTTCGTATCAGATCACTGTTAACCAAATTGCTTTCATCTTTGTGTCTTATTCCTGTGTTTACTGTGAGTATTTTAAGCTTTCTCTCCAAACCATTAAATTTTTAGTAACCTCTATTCTATTCCATACTTGTTCTATATCATTTATTAGTTTTGCACTAGAGGTGTTCTTGTCCTCAAATGTGCTTGCTTAGCTCTACAAACTCACTTTTCAACAATATGAAAACATCCATTTTAAGATGTTATTTGTATGTACATGTGTGTGTCTATGTGTATATCTACATATACATGTACTATAAAAGTCCAAAGGCTTTTATCTACTTTACCAAAATGTTAATAGTTTTATGCTGTAGTCAATGATTTCTTTTCCTTTTCGCCTATCTGAATTTCCTAAATTTTTTCATAGTGAATGAAATATGCTTACACACTAATGTTTATGGACACACATATGCAAATATAAATGTTATATATATATTTCTAGAAAAAGAGTGGATTTCTAGAAAAAAAATATTGAGAACAAAAAGTATATATTTTCACAGAAAAATTGTGAAATGATTTGTCTAAGCAAGTCAGTTGGTAGTATTGTTTGCTTAAACTAACTATGCTGTTTCCAAGATGTTTGCTTCTCATAGGATAGCTACACATTTTCAGAGAACTGAAATATCCAGCCAAGGACTAAACATCTTTATGTCAGTCATGTAACATTCTAAGAATAATATCCTTCCTCAAGCTATGTGCACATTGTTCTTTGAAGAATAGGAAAGTAAGCTGTATTAGCATTCTGATAGCCAGCATATAATCTGTATCTGAGACACAGATACATAGTAGATGTGAATGAAAACCTCTCCTATTTTCTTAGTGACCAATTTTGTTCTTCTGTTTTGAGATTGAGCAAGTAGAGGCCTCAGAAAATTTCTTTATCAAAATTGTATCTAAAGAAGGAAATTCCAACTGGGCATGATGGCTTATGTCGGTAATCCCAACACTGGGAAGCAAAGGTAGGAGTACTGCTTGAGCCCAGAAGTTTGAGACCAGCCTGGGCAACATAGCGAGACTCTGCCTCTACAAAAATAAAGAACTGTCAAAATATAGATATGCTAGAAATAAGACAGCATGATAAATTTTGACTGTTTTTTTCAACTTTAATTATGTCACCTAATAACACTTAGAGATACATCAGCATATTTTTATCTGGCTTATCATTATTTTTCAAGGCTACTATAAATTTCAAAAGAAAATATTGACCAAAGGAATTCAGGAGAACCAAACATGAACATTCTAAAAATTCAAAAGTCATGATCTAAATTTCAGGATTGGTAACACTATCAGGTGATTATTATTTTACTTGTATAAACCTCAATAGGTTACAGAATAAAACATAAAAATGAAGAATATAGAAAATCAAGTAATACAAGAAGTTGTATCACTTAAGATGGGTTAATATAAAAAAATGTGATGTGAAAAACCGACTACAATAAAAGATGTGGCAAGTAAACTAAAGATTCATTGAAATATAATAGAAAAATTCACGATCAATCTAGAGAAAGGGCAATAGAGGTAATGGGAAAGGGGAAAGAAAGATTTTCAAGGAAATATTTAAAAGCTTCCTTATTGGACTTTTTTTTTTTTGAGACAGTGTCTTGATCTGTCACCAGGTGTCAGGCTAGAGTGCAGTGGTGCAGTCTCAGCTCACTGCAACCTCTACCTCCCGGATTCAAGCAATTCTCCTGCCTGAGCCTCCTGAGAAGCTGGGGTTATAGGTGTACACCATCATGCCCAGCTAATTTTTGTATTTTAGTAAAGACAGGGTTTCACCATGTTGACCAGGATGGTCTTGATCTCTTGACCTCGTGATCTACCCACCTCGGCCTCCCAAAGTGCTGGGATTACAGGCGTGAGCCACCATGCCTGGCCCCTTATCAGTCTTGTATCTGGAACATCCTAACATAAAACTAAACTTAATAGTTGTGTCCACATGAATGACTTTGGATGCTCAGTTTTATAATTTAGTGATGCAAGTTTACAAAGACAAATGTTTTAAAGGAAGGATACAATAGTAAAATTTGTTTAGAGCTAAAGATCTTTAAAAAGCACTGAGACCTTATTCACTTTGGCTACAGTTTCACCTCATCAAATTTACATTCAACCATCCAACGCTATTCAAAAGGTTGTCCCAAGTAAGAATAGAAATAAAAATAAAGAGAAATATATTTTTTTACTATAGCTTTTATCTGAGTTTTTTGTTTACTGTATTCAGTCTTGACTTCAAACCAAGTTTATTTGACAAGCACTTGGTGGTAAGACTAGACACTAAACTTTTCCTTGATGAAAACCAATGTGGGTGGCTTCTCTGTATTTTTCATCTTTTTTCAAGAGGGTGCCTCTTTGTGGTGGCATAAGATCTCATATTGCTGTGTGAGAAAGACTGCTGTCCAGCCAGGCTAAATACTCAAAAGTAAATTCCACTTCTGAGTTCTACTGGATTAATAGTGATCAGAAGACTCAATCAAGCTGAAGCCAGGAAAGAAATTCATAAAGAAAATCATCACCAGCATCATCATCATCAAATAAAAATAAAGCTTCATTTATAGAGCTCTATGTTACTATCACATAAAATAAACAGACATGATTCCTGTTTTCCATGAAGCCTCCATGCTAGAGCAGATGATGTGACACAGACATATAAACAGACATTCCCAACACAGACCAGAGACATGACGGCTGCCACTAGTGCAGAAATAAATCAACAACAGCTAAATATTTACAAAATGTGAGAGATTTATTATGTGCAATGTATTTTGTATAATACAGATAATAGTCTCTGTAATTGGTGAGGACTGAATGAAGGTACAATTCTTTTGTTTCCTGGTCCTACTCTCTCTCTGACTTGTCATGTAAGTTTTAACCTGACAGTGACTATTTTGTATTCTACAAAAACAAAATAATAGCATTTAAATGTATTCCATATTGTATATACTACAAAGGTATAGACTCATGAAAATACAGTATAGCGGGGAGGGCCAGTGGGAGGGGGAGGTGGGGAGGGATAGCCTGGGGAGAAATGCCAAATGTGGGTGAAGGGGAGAAGAAAAGCAAAGCACACTGCCATGTGTGTACCTACGCAACTGTCTTGCATGCTCTGCTCATGTACCCCAAAACCTATAATCCAATAAAAAATTAAAAAAAAAAAAAAAGAAAATACAGTATAGCAAATTCTACTATGATTTCTGATGAAATGAACCAGGGCAGAAATTCAATTTTTAAATGCCTTATCAAAAAATATTCTCACATAATATACTTCACATACCAAGTAAACTATTTGGAGGTACTAACTTTTGGAATGGTTGGTGTTAACTTCTGATCAGAGACAGGGATTCTGAGTGTTATAAATGGTACTATCATTCTCCATCAAATATTACCTGTTTTATTTCTCTAAAACTTCCTCTGGCCATCTTCATCTCTCTGGTCCTTCTTTTTCAGATTTCTTCTTTTCACTTTCTTTTGCCCTCCTCTGACTGTAGGATCCACAAATATAAAAATAAAAAGCTCCCAAATAGATGAAAGGAACATGGGAACCCTTCTCCCTTTGGTTTAGAAAAAGGAAGGAGTCTGCTTTTTAGACAATTTAGACATATCATAATAATGACTTTTAATTAAGAGACCTTAGAGATTATCTGGGCTCCAGACACAGTGAACATCTTTCAGTCCCTCAAATGTGTCATATTCTTTAATATCCAAGCATTTCCTATAGTTGGATTATGCTTTACCTCCAATTTAACCACCCCAACACCTACTCACCTTTCTACAAAAGCAAACCTTAAGTTTTGCTTCTGTACTTTTCCTTTTGTATTTTCACAGCTTCTTCACCCATTCATCGACTTGATGCCCCAGAAGATTGAAAGCTTTGTGTGAGGAAGAACTAGGACTTTATCATCTCGCTCTATCACAACACGTGGCATATGGTAGGCATTTAACGATGGCTTGTTGAAGAGATGAAGGACAAGCCTAACCAAAACAATTAAAATATGTTCTATAGCTCTAGAGCTGCACTACCCAACAGAAGTTTCTACAATAACAGAAATGCTCAGTATCTATGCTGTCCACTACACTAGTCACTAGTCACATGTGGCTACTGAATGCTTGAAATGTAACTAGTGAAACTAGTTGAATAAATAAATTTTCAATTTTATTTAATTTTCATTCATTTTAATAGCCGCTTACAGTTAGTGGTTAACATACTAGACATGGAAGCTCTAGAGTTACAATAGAAATATATTATGCATGATTTGGTTTGATTATATTGTTTAATATATAGATAACATTTTAAAGTATGGTTTACTGAAATAATTCAGATTTCCTACATGAAATGTCTCTTAACAGATTACATACTATTCGAGGACAGGAATTTTATCTTCCTCCTCCTCATCTTATATATAGTAGATACTTGACATTTTATTTATTTTTATTTTATTTTGAGACAGAGTCTTGCTCTGTCATCCAGACTGGAGTGAAGTGGCACAATTTTGGCTCACTACAACCTCTACCTCCCAGGTTCAAGTGATTCTCCTGCCTCAGCCTCTCAAGCAGCTGGGATTGCAGGGGCCCACCACCACACCCAGCTAATTTTTAATTTTCTAGTAGAGACGGGTTTCACCATGTTGGTCAGGCTGTTCTCAAACTTCTGACCTCAAGTGATCCATCCACCCACCTCAGCCTCCCAATGTGCTGGGATTACAGGCATGAGCCACCATGCCTGGCCAGATACTTAACATTTTAAAACATTTAACATTCAGTTAAACTGAATGGGAATACTGGCTCTTAAAATTTAAAGAATCTGGTGTCTCTGTTTATTTTATTTTCTTCCCAGTTTAAGTATAACAGGTGAAAACTAAAAAAACAGATAACCAAATTAAAGCAAAACAAAAAAAGCTGTTACCTGGACTGAGTATCCACCAAAGTGTCAAGCAGAAAAGGAACTATGGAAAGAATGTTCCCACATATCTCCTACATCTCTACCTCTGTTCCATCTTTGCCCACACTATTTTCATTGCCAAAAGCCAAACTCCTGTCCCAATCCCATCTTCCTCTGTCCAAATTCTACATGTACTTCAATGTCCAGTTCACATGTTGCTTCTTAATGAAGCATTCATGTTAACAAAGTATTGGATCTGTCTTGTCTATGCGATCCTCTAAGTTGGTTAATTCTGTTTTGTTCTATAGTGTTTGTCAAGTTCATTAAATATAATTAATTTTAGCTACATAGAATCTAGTATATTTTACTTTTCTGAATTATCAGCAATTGATATATGTAGTATTTCATTTTATCATCACCAATTCTGAAAATTAAGATCTTCTTGAATTAAGTCAAACATCTTTTACACATTAGACATATAATTCAGTATATTTCCAAACCTAGAGAAATATCTTTCATATAAACAGAAGAAATCAGAAGCAAGAGTAAGACACTGTGTCATACAAAACGATACCTTTGACAGACAGAAAAGATATACTTGACAAAATCCCAAACCACATTCCTAGAACTACTCCCTGATGAAACAGGTTCCTTACAACATTTTAAAGTACCTTCAAATCCTAAGTGCATATTGGCTTTTTGTGATCCAGCCATAAGGAGTAATAGTACTATCATCATTTATATTTCTGTATTTAGGATATGTGTATCAGCATGAATTAGCTGACAACAAAATTCTTCATATTTCTGAACACAGCCTTCCATAAAACTTTCTTCTGTAATTTTAAGCAAAAACAAATTCTAGTATAACTGAATTTTACTATAGAAAGGCAAGAAATTAAATAATCTATCCTCAACTGAGTCCTCATTGACACTCAGCAGCTTACTTCATTTTAACTATTGCCCACTGCAACTATTCTACACCTTTTCTCCTATCTCATTTTTCCTCATTCTCGGCCAATAGCCTTAACTTCTTTAATGAGATGCCTGAGATCTGGTACATCCTCCCTCAGCGTCTGTCCTCTCCCTATACGTCCACCCATCTCCTATCCTCTTACTCCTCTGATTTCTAAATATTCCTTCCCAAAGTCAATAACTCCATCTAAAAACTTCATATCATTCTTTCCAGATTCCTCCAACATCTATCAGCCAACAATTAACTGCCTACTCCCCAGTACCTTCTTTCTCTTCTTCTCCAAATACTCCTTTACCTCTGCCTACAACTACACTTATTTTTTTCAAATTAAAGAAGTCTTCCCTTGACCCTAGTGATCCTATAGCTAACATTTCATCTCTATCCTCCCATTCAACTCCAAAATCCCTGAAAGAGTAGTCTACATTGGAAAGGTTATTCTTTAACATGCACCTATTCTTTAACTTCCTGGATTCATTCACCCACATCACAGTATTAAAACTATCTTCTTAAAGGCCATCAGTGACTTCAAAGCCACCAAACCTAGTGGAGTCTTCTTCATCTCCACCTGTCTTCTCCTCTGGAAAGTTGAGCATATGATACCACTGACTAGCCTCTCACAAAAATTCTTTCATCTCTTGGTTTCCATGTCACATACTGATTTAGAAAGCAAACATGAGAGCCAGCAGCTAAACCTGCAAAATGGCTAATATTATTTCCCTCACTCATAAGATACAGGAAAATAAGCAACAGACTCACTGAGTCTGTCCTGAGTGGGGAATCAAGCACAAAGAATCTTACAGGCCAGGTCGGTGGCTCATGCCTGTAACCCCAGCTCTTTGGGAAGTGGAGGCAAGCGGATCTCAGCCTAGCCAACATGGAGAAACCCTATATCTACTAAAAATACAAAAAATTAGCCGGGCGTGGTAGCACATGCCTGTAATCTCAGCTACTCAGCAGGCTGAGGCAGGAGAATTGCATGAAACTGGGAAGTCGAGGTTGCAGTGAGCTGAGATCGCACCACTGCACTGCCTGGGCAACAGAGCAAGACTCCATCTCAAAAAAATAAAAAAATAAAGAAGAAAAAGAAACTTACCTATCAGGTAAGGTCAGGAATAGTATATCTAATCTTAACATTGAGAATGTAAGCCTCTGATCCCACAAATCATTCTGTGGATTATCAGTCCTAACAGCTTCTGTGATGATTCAACAGAAAGAATAGAATTAACTAGAGTTAGAGCACTACTCTAACCATAGAGTACAGAAGAGTCTGCAGGACAATGAAAACTGCAGCAGTAAAACAGGGTCACACACCTTAAGAGGGACTTCCTAATAATATGCTGTCCTGATTGTGCTGATTTCTTTCTCTCCTCTGACCCCTTTTGCCACCTTCTTTTCCTCTTTTCAAACTAAAAAATGTGTGTATTTCTCAAAGCTTTGTCTTCAATCTCTTCTTCCTGTCTCTTTCTCTTCTTTGCAATTCTCATAGCCCCTACCTATTCATCTCAAACACTCAATACATCTTCTTAAGTCCCCAAATCAGCTCCTCTTCTTAATCTTTTTCTTTCTGTTAATGGTACAAGCAGTGCCCTAGTTACCCAAATGCAAACCTTGCTCCAATTCTCTTCTCTCTCACTTCCCACATATAATTGTGGCTAAGTTCTGCCAATTCTATCTACCAAATGCTTCACTTTTCTTTTCCATTTCCACTGCCACACCTTATGTCAGGCCCTTATTCTCTCACCTGGACCTCTGCAATGGCCCCTTAATTTTAATTCTTGATTCTAATCTCTCCCAACTCCATTATATCCTTCCCATTAATCATTCCAAAGCACAGCTACTAGCTCCTACCATGCCCTTGCTCAACAGCCTTCATGGATTCCCCACTGCTAGAGAATAAAGTTCTAATCTTCATTCTCATTTTTAAAACCCTCCATGACCTGGCTCCAAGCTTTATTTGTCATTTCATCTCCCACCATTCTCTTCTACAAAAGCTATACTTCACTCTAAATCAGGCTTCCTGTTTCTAAATATGCCCTACATCTCCACCTCTGCTCCATCTTTGTCCATGCTATTTTCTTTGCCAAAAGCCTAACTCCTACCCCAATCCCATCTTAATCTGTCCAAATTCAACACATACTGTAATATCCAGTTCACATCCACCTCCTTCATGAAGCATTGATGTTAAAGGATTAGATCTGTCTTGTCTACACAGTTCTCTTGGATGGTTGATTCTGCTTTTTCTACAGATGTTTGAATATTTATATTCTACCTCTTCCTAGATAAGTTCTCTGAGGACAGAAGCAATATCTTATCCATCTTACTCTTTCTGCAATGCTTAGCATAGTGTTCTATACTAGACAGGACTAGAATATATGTAAGCCTCACAAAATAGCTGATGTAATTACAGGCATTTGGTTTAAGATGCCAAAGAAATCGGATTCAGAAGTAGTAAGCATTTTAAAAGAAAAAAACAACAACACTTTTTTTCCTTTGCCTTTAGAATACTTGTGTAGTCCTGAAGTCACGCTCTGCCAATAATCTTTTATATGTTGTGTTCCTAACAATATTAGATATGAATATTTTCAACTATTTCTTTTTTTTTTTTTTTGAGACGGAGTTTCACTCTTGTTACCCAGGCTGGAGTGCAATGGCGCAATCTCGGCTCACCGCAACCTCCGCCTCCTGGGTTCAGGCAATTCTCCTGCCTCAGCCTCCTGAGTAGCTGGGATTACAGGCACGCACCACCATGCCCAGCTAATTTTTGTATTTTTTTTAGTAGAGACAGGGTTTCACCATGTTGACCAGGATGGTCTCGATCTCTTGACCTCGTGATCCACCCGCCTCAGCCTCCCCTCTTCCTTCTCCTTTTCTTCCCCCTCCTACTACTCCTATTTCTGGCCAATTTTTCAGAAGACATCCTTACTTTACCTCATTAAGTTTAATACAAGGTGATGTGACTTTTTTTTTTTTTTTTTCCTTAAAGCAGCTACAGCATCTGTCCTTCCTCAAAAGATGTTTTTGGACAAGCCAAACTTCAAAATGTCATTTAGGAACAAGTTTAGACCACGGCATGCACATCTTATTGCAATGATATGCTACTAATCTTTATAAGACAATGTACTGTCCATGTACATTGTCAGAATGTATGACAAGGTTTAATATCACTTCTTCCCATATATCTGTCCATTCATAAACATTGCAGAAACACTTCATTTACTCTTCCATGCATAGATTTTATTACTGCTTAAAATCTCACACTAGTATGTACTTTGTATTGACAATTATACTTCAGAATAGCTTATTATAAGCTCATTATAGTTCAAAACTTTGGACAACTGTTTTTAACTTCCAGTTATTTTTTCTATAAATGAAGCCAGGGAGCATTTTCTACAAATGGTTTATGTAACAATAGGTTACCTGAGGAGATGACTCTTGAATCTTTTGTGACAATACTATTGCTAACGTAAGCAACAAAAATTAAAGAAATTCTGGAATTAGAGTGGAAAGAGTGACTAATCTTCACTGGAAACGGTGACTTAGACTTCATTCTGGTTTTCATTTAGCCCAATGAAGAACGTTTTGTTCAATACCTGTAGGATATATTAGTTTGATGGTTCTAATAGCATTTGGAAACATCTACTGCTTTTTCAACATTTGTGAGTCACATGGGGTTATTTACGCAAAAGAACATGAGGTCCAGAAATGTTTCCATACGCTAGAAAATGATTCTATCAGTTTAACAGGGCAGAAGAAAAAATGTGATTGATTTTGCAAATGAACACTAAGCTATAGAAAGTTCCTTCAAGGTTAACTTTAACAACTTTGCAGCCACATCAGATCACCTCATAAAACAACAGAATAGTATAAAGTCAATTATGATTTATATGTTATAAAAACATGAAGCATGGTTAAAATATTCTAAAATATTTATTATTCTAAATTCATATAAACCTGAACTTTCACCTATTGATAAAATAGTAATTTTTCTTCCTACTCTCTTGTGACTCTTTGGATCATATAATCAAAAAAAAAAGGCAAGTTCCAACTTTCTAACTTCAAAACTTTTAACCGTATTGTTACTCTTCTCTGTTTAAGCCTTTTAAACCAGGAAGACAATAAGCTACAGGAAAAAAAAATGGGACTGCATTAAGTCTAAAGGCAGTTGCCTTATTTTGGTTAATAAACCATTTAATGTTCAATTTCTGCTCTGAAAAAAGCTCATAAAAATTTAACTTGACAATAGCAAACTATCACAGAAGAAAGAAGATGACTCAAAGTCCACTGACAACCAGATGATATTATTATTACACCCAGTTGCAGACCCAATGAGTGACAGTATATTTCAATGGATACGAAGCCACAGGCACCAACTAAGTACAGGCATACCTGCCTGTACCTCACATACATTGTGGTCTTTTACACATTGAGGGTTTGTGGCAACCATGCATTGAGCAAGACTATCAGTGCCATTTTTCCAACAGCACGTGCTCATTTTCTGTCTGTGTCACATTTTGGTCATTCTCACAATATTTCAGACTTTTTCATTATTATCATACCTGCTATGGTCATCTATGATTAGCAATCTTTGACATTACTATTAAGGCATCACAAACTGCAGTCCTATAAGATATCAAACCTAATTGATAAATCTATATATTCTGACTGTTCCACCACAGCAGCCATTCCCATGTCTTTCTGCCTGTCTTTGGACTCCTTATTCCCTGATAATAAAAATATGAAAGTTAGGCCATTTAATAACTCTAGATTTCTCTGAATCAGGTTAGAGAAAAAAATGGAAAAAAAAAAAATTAACCCTACAATGGCTTCTAAATGTTCAAGAAAGAAGAACAGTCACACATCTTTCACTTTAAATCAAAAGCTACAAATGATTAAGCTTAATGTGGAAGGCATATCAAAAGCTCAATCGGGCCAAAAACTAGGCCTCTTGTACCAAACAGCCAAGCTGTGAATACAAAGAAAAATTCTTGAAGGAAATTAAATGTGCCACTCCGGTGAACACACGAATGCTAACAAAGCAAAACAGCCTTATTGCTGATAAGGAGACCAAATGTCTGGACAGAAGACCAAACCAGCCACAACATTACCTTAAAGTCAAACCCTAATCCAGAGCAAGGCCCCAACTCTCTTCAATTCTATGAAGGCAGAGAGAGGAGAGAAAGCTGTAGAAGAAAAGCTGGAAGCTCACAAAGGTGGCTTCATGAGGTATAAGGAAAGAAGTATTCCATAAAAGTGCAAGCGAAGCAGTAAGTACAGCAAGATGCTACAGCAAGTTATTCAGAAGATCTACCTAAGAGCGCTGATGAAGGTGGCTACCCTGAACAACAGATTTTCCATGTAGACAAAACAGCCTCACATTGGGTGTGGGGGAAATGGCACATCAGACTTTCATGGCTAAAGAGCAGAAGTCAGTGCCTGGTTTCAAAGCTTCAAAGGACAGGCTGAGTCTCTTGGTAGGGGCTAATGCAGTTGGGAACTTTCTAAGTTGAAGCCAGTGCTCACTGGCCATTCTGAAAATCCTAGGACCCTCAAAAGTTATGCTTAATCTACTCTGCCTGTGCTCTAGAAATGGAACAACAGGTCTGGATGATAGCACATCTGTTTATAGCATGGCTTACTGAATATTTTAAGCCCTCTGTTAAGAACCACGGTTTAGTAGAAAAGATTCCTTTCAAAATATTACTGTTCACTGACAAAGCCCCTGGCCACCCAAGAGCTCTGGTGAAGATGAACAAGGAGATTAATGTTGTTTTCATGCCTATTAATACAGCATCCAGACTGCAGCCCACGGATCAAGGAATAATTTCAACTTTCAAGTCTCACTATTTAAGAAATATATTTCGTAAGGCTATTTCTGCCATAGATTGTGATTCCTTTGATGGATCTGGATAAAGAAAACTGAAATCCTTCTGGAAATAATTTACCATTCTAGATGCCATTAAGAATATTTCTGATTCATGGTAGGAGGTCCAAACATCAACACTGACAGGCGTGAGGAAGATGCTAAGCCTTATAGATTACTTTGAAGGTTTTAAGACTTCAGTGGAGGAAGTAACTGTAGATATGATACAAATAGCAGGAAAACTAGAGTTAGAAGTGGAACCTAAAGATGTGACTGAATTGTTACAATCTCATGACCAAACTTGAACAGATGAGGGATAAGGTATGAGCAAAGTAATGATGAATGAGCAAAGGAGTTATTTTCTTGAGATGGAAAACTACTCCTGTTGACAATGCTAAGAACATTGTTGAAATGACAACAAAGGATTTAGAATATTTCATAAACTTAGTTGATAAAGCAGTAGCAGGGTTTCAGAGAACTGATCCCAATTTTAAAAGAAGTTCTACTGTGAGTAAAATGCTATTAAGTAGCATGATATGCTACAGAGAAATCTTTCATGAAAGGAAGAGTAAATTGATTCAAGCATCCATCAATAAACTTTATTGTTGTCTTATTTTAAGAAATGGATACAGCCACTCCAACTTTCAGCAGCCACCACGTTGAGCAGTCAGCAGCTATCAACACTGAGAGAGGACCCTCCACCAGCAAAAAGCTGATGACTCTCTGAGGGCTCAGATGATCATTAGCATTTTAAATTAAGGTATGTACATTGCTTTTTTAGGCATAATATTATTGCACACTTAGACTGCTGTATAGTATGAACACAACCTTTATATGCACTGGGAAATTTTTAAAATGTATGACTCACATTATTATAATAGTTACTTTATTGTGGTGATCTGATACCAAACCCATGATATCTTCAAGGTATGGCTGTGTACTGTAAGGAAATTTGCTAGCAAAACTAAAATACTTATAATAGTGCTGCTGGGTAGGATATATGTCCAGACCCCAATTCCTGTTGCAAGAGGTTGCTCTATTTCTACTCTGTCTCAGAAGACATCCAGAGTACACTGTATATTTGTAGGAAATAGGGAAGCAGCATCTCTACAACCAGAGAAGTTCAAAATGTCTCCTATCTGAACTTAATCGCATCTGATCCTACAACCAAGCAAGACACTCTTAGGAGAGTCCATCTTAAAATATATATTCCTCTGGACCATAACAAATTATGCTGACTCTATGTACATCCAGACTCTAGTAAGCAATAGGAACACAAACATACAACTATATATTCAATTTAGTACTTTATATACAACTCCATAAGACAGACTTTTTCCTTAACAAATAAAACTATTTACCTAAGTTTGTCACAGTAGCTATACTTCTTTTGGATCAGTATTGATTTCTGAAAAAACACCTTATTTTCAATAGTTGTAAATGTTTTGCTGGCTCAAAACAACATGAAGATAAATGGGCTATGTAAAGTTTTCCTTTAAAATAGGAGAGTAAAAAGTGTTTCTTAAATATCTAATTGAAAACAGGGCCTTTTAGGCTACAGATTTTTCCATTATAATATATACACCAGAACACAAAGCAACTTAAGTGTTAAACATTAGGAATTTTCTAACATATGTACAAATGAAGATAAGTTATTTTGTTTTTTAGGATCAAATATGAGTCTTTATACGGAAATACCTTAAGCCTGAATGTTAAGTTTTCTCCCAAATCATTTGCTTCAAACAAAGAAGTCTCTTTCCAAGAAAGATCTGTATTTTAACTAATAATTCTAGGGGAGTCACATTACTGATGAAATAAGAAATTATGAATATAAAAACAACTCTTTTTGGAAGGTAAAGAAAGACAAAGAAGAAAACATAGAGAGATGACAACAAATACTTAACGGAACACCTTCCATGAGCCAGACATTAATATGGGAGCTAAGGACACAAAGTAAATCAAACACAGTTCCTGCCCTCATGAAATTTATAATTGATGTAATGCCATTATTATATTTTTCTCATGTCAAAAGAGGTATTTATATTGCCATCAATCCATAAATGAAAGTTAACATGCCTTACAGGAAAGTATTTCCTAACCCCTGGAATAATCTGCTCCTCTAAACAAGAGGCTAATCAACTGGACCTTCCCATTCCTCTTTGTCTTTGGATAATTTTACTATTTATGCTTTATACTGTACATTCAGTCATGGGGATATATAACATAGATGTTTATTAATGATGGTGATAATGGTAACAGCAATAGTTAATATTTAATAAGCATGTGTTAAGTTCAGGGCATGGCACTAAACAGTTTACATTTATTATTTGGTCTAATCCTCACCACAACCCTATTTGATGGATATTATTATGATGTGTAACAGGGCTAGCACTGAAAGATTACTGTTTTATCAAATATAATAGATCAAAATAAGAGACTTAAATATATCAAATTAAGAAATCTAATTTTACTTCTTTATTCTTCTATCTAGAACCATAAGTAACAACTTAATCAGAAATATATAGCTGCAAGTTTAAGTTATCACTGTCCTGCTCCTCAGTGGAATATACACAAAGCTTAGCATATGGCAGAAGATAGGAAAGACAGAAGTAGTATATCCATCCCTTCTCTCCTTAAACCTGTGTTTTCTTTTGTTTTTTTAAAAAGCACAATATCCATTTGTATGATCATATTGCTTACACCAAAGACTTTTGTTTTATCTAAAAGAACTCTTTTAACCAGGGATGAAATAAAATTTATAAATTAATTTCTAGGCTGAGCGTGGTAGCTCACACCTGTAATCCCAGCACTTTAGGAGGCAGAGGCGGGCAGATCACCCAAAGTCAGGAGTTCCAGACCAGTCTGACCAGCATGGTGAAACACTGTCTCTACTAAAAATACAAAATTAGCCGGGCATGGTGGCACATGCCTGTAACTCCAGCTACTCGGGAGGCTGAAGCACAAGAATCACTTAACCCAGGAGGCAGCGGTTGCAGTGAGCCACGATCGTGCCATTGCACTCCAGCCTGGGCAACAAGAGCTAAACTCCATCTCAAAAAAAAAAAGAGAGAGAAATGTAACAACTTTTCCCCCTTTCCTACTCCTTTCTATTTCATTTTTCAAAAATAATCATTTATCTGATTAAAGGTTGAATTAGAGAAAATTTCAAATTCCCCCAAAGTTATCCCTCAATTCAAAACAGGATATAGCACTAATTGCTGAGAGTTCTGAAACTGTATTTTGGGATTTTCAAATCCCAAATTCACTCCAAATCTCAAGATTACAGTTATTAAAAGGAACTGAAACAGCCCTTCCTCTAAGATGCCTGTTTGAGAAGAGAGTTATCTTTCCACCATCCTGAACTGGAGTGAATGTTGAACACCCCTTTTGATAAAGTCTTAATTATAACAATTTTTAACCATTTAAGGGTTATGAAACTCACTGGGAAACTTGTGAAGGCTATGGACTTTCTTCCCAGAAAAATTATAAGTACACACACATAAAATTTTATATAATTTGAGGCATTCTATACACTTACTAAAACCCAATCATGGACCTCAATTTAAAACTCTTGGTGTGGGCCAGAGGCAGTGGCTCACGCCTATAATCCCAGCACTTTGGGAGGCTGAGGCGGGCGGATCACCTGAGGTCAGGAGTTCGAGAGCAGCCTGGCCAACATGGTGAAACGCCATCTCTACTAAAAATACAAAAATTAGCTGGGCATGGTGGCACATGCCAGCTAATCAGGAGGCTGAGGCGCAAGCACTGCTTGAACCCAGGAGCTGAGATCGTGCCACTGCACTCCAGCCTGGGTGACAAAGCGAGACTCTATGGCAAAAACTAAACAAGCAAAAAACAACTCTTGGTCTGTTTATTCACCAATCACATACCCTTCAATATCCCAGGAGCTTGGTATCGTGTGTGAAAATAATAAAGTGAAGCTTTTTGAAGAAAAATCAATTGAAAGAAAAATGTTTAATGTCCCAAGATGAAAGGAGTAGTTGGCAATTTGGGGTATCACTAAGCTGGCTGTACTCTAAAAGGTCTCACCAGACGACACTAGAGAAGCCATCTAGAAGGTAACATGGTCTTAGACTGTGCACAAACCACTTTAATATCTCAGACTTCCACTGCTGACTAACACCTTCTTGCTTTAGATATTTTAATAACATTTAATCAGTGGAAATTTTTGACATAATAGTATAGCCAGATTTTCCTTACTATTACTGATTCTTATCTAGAAGACAGTTTAGCCACTCACTGTAGCCAAGTCTTGCTTTTTCCTTGGCTACAAGGAATACAACTAAAAAAATATTTTAATATAGCAATACATTCAAGGTAGATATGATTTTTTCTTTCTTTTTGGTGAAAGGGCTCCCTGGCTTATCCAACAATCACAATGCCTCAAATTCATCTTTGCATCTTCTTGACTCACTTAATCCAGCAGATTTCAAAAAATGTCTATTGGGTATCTAATAACTATAAAGTTCATAAGGGCAAGGTCCAGGTCACCTTTGGTTCCCTATGGTATGCCCAGTGATTAACTGCCTGACACACAGTAAGTGCTCAAAAAATACAACTTTAATATGTTGATCAAACTCTTGCAGCAACTACCAGTTCAACCACTAGGTATATGAGCTTGGCAAGTTACTAAGTATCTCTGAGATCGTTTATTTACCTAAAAAAGTGAATAATGATATTCATACAATTAGTACTAAGATTAAATAAGATCAAGTACACAAAGCACACTACTGTAGTATCAAAAACACTGCATTATTCTTTAATGTAAACCTATATTTTTAAGGCCTGTTAAAATATAGCTAAATTTTAAAATATGACACTATAGTCATATTGATATGGTTCAAATTAACTTTACAACCACATTCTTACAAAAAACAAAAACAATAAAGGGCCAAAAAAGCTAGGAGCAAAAATATTAAAATACAGAGACAAAGACAGCTAAAAAAACAAAAACCAAAAAAACCTCATAAATAAGGCAATGTTTTGAAAGAAAATAACTTCCTTATATATTTGTGGCTTAAAACACAACTAATATTTTCCAAGTGACAAAGCTGGCACAAACATAGCAATTGGGAGATTTAGTTTTCCTAAAATTATTTTTCAGCTCTGTCAAACAAAAAAAATCTTTACTTCTTAAAGGCACGTACTCTAAAATGAAATTGTCTTGGTGGTACAAAAGCGCCTATTAAAATGTGCTTTAGTTTTCTTCTGCCTCCACACCCCCTGCCTGCACTGTTTTCTTTAAAAACTAAGTCTATAGTGCCATCTACTGTGTCTGTTCAGATCACATCACTTTTGCTGGTTTTATCCAGCAAAAGAAACAAGAAATGCAGCAAATTTAGAATCTGTCACTTTATACAATGTACTTAGATGTAAATACCTACCTATATACACTATCTATACCTATATCTGTATCTCCACCCATATTTAGTATCTGAGCAACAATTTACCTGCTTTCTTTCCACTTTCTTCTTAAGTGGGCCCGAATTCATTATAACCCAAGTATCATAATAGGAACCAACATGTTTACCTCTATACATTAGAGGAAAGAGGTACAGTAATAATAACAAACCTTTATTGAGGGCTTACTGTAGGTCAAATAGTATTCTAAGTGCTTAAGCAAAATAAAGATTCCATAGATAAAGCTTCAAAACCATTTACTCCACTCACATCAGTGAAAATGACTGCTGTTTATTTATTTTGTGGTTGTTGTTTGTTTGTTTGTTTGAGACAGGAGTTTCACTGTTGTTACCCAGACTGGAGTGCAATGGCACAATCTTGGCTCACTGCAACCTCCGCCTTCTGGGTTCAAGCAATTCTCCTGCCTCAGCCTCCGGAGTAGCTGGGACTACAGGCGCGCACCACCATGCCCAGTTAATTTTTGTATTTTTAGTAGAGACGGGGTTTCACCTTGTTGACCAGGATGGTCTCAATCTCTTGACCTCGTGATCCACTCGCCTCGGCCTCCCAAAGTGCTGGGATTATACGCGTCTGAGCCACTGTGCCCAGACTGTTTATTTGTTTTACATGGATATACCACCATGCAAATAAAACCAAGCATCTTGAGGAAAAGAGCTGTAATTCACTGTTCTTTTAAAATAAATGGATGTCAACTCCACAGCCAGTGGTAAAAAATGATTTGATGGATGGATGGATGGATGGATGGATGGATGGATGGATGGAAGGAATAATAGACAAATGGATGGATAAAGATGGCCAGCCCACGGCGCCTATGACAGTACCCATCATATTTTTTAACCCACAGGGTCTTTTTCATTACAAAGATGTACCTTTAGCCAGAAAACTCAACATATTAAGGAAATCTCCAGTTAATTCAAAACCTCCTTCTTCCTCCCTAAGTGTATATTTAGGGAGCACAAAGAAAAAAGTTTTAAAAGGTCACTTATAAACATGGTTTGTCTCCAATATAAGAAAATGTGTATTAGTACAAGCCTCATAACTTACATATCTAAATAAGTGATGTTTGTGAAATGTATCAACCAAGAACTAATCTAATACTACTAGTACACAAAAATTTTTTGCAATTTCTCATTGGTAATTTCCTTTAGAGTCTGTTTTGAAAGCAATAAAAGAAAATATGTTTTACTACTTTACATTTTATTTATTATATTTAATATATTTCAGTCTATTAGTTTGACTACCCATCTTACTCATCACACTCGGCTCTAAATGACAGTTGACTGTTTCAAAATTCAAAACAGCCTACAAAAGAAAGACCTGCCACCACAGAAAACTGACAAAAGAACTTACCAAGAAAGAAGTATGCATTAAATGGGTATATATCTTCTACGACCATTTTGAGAGAAACAACATTCATTTGGATACACTACTGCTGACATTTAAAAAGAAAGAAACTCGGGCATCATATTTTTAAGTCACTGAATTTTATAACTGCAACTATTCCCATATAGTTTTCATTTGTTATACATATCAATGTTCTCTGTCTTAAGTCTTCCTTTCATAAAACTGTAAAGACTCTGTAGTCTTCTTGGAAGACTTGGCAGGCTTTGAAACTTCAACGCATTGACGTTACTCCTGCTACTTCACATAAACCTTCACTTTAAGTTCAGTGTGTCTGCCACCATATTGCTCAATTCTTCTACTATTCCAAATGCTCTGAAGCAGCTTCCCAGAAATCCTTGTTTGGATCAGCAAAAACAATTTGATGTCATCAGCAGATTTCACCATTTCCTTCTGGAGTCATTAAAACACTAAACAAGCACGATCTTGGTATCAATCCTTGGGTTTCCTATCATTAACTTCTCTCCAGCTGAAGTCAAGCTATTCTCTCTACATTGTGATTTCCAAAATAGGACCAGGATGTGTTTATGTGCTAGAAGTGTACACATTGATGGATTTTTATAATGAAAGTTGCAGAATGCATTATGAAAGTAAAAGGGGGAAAATCCCAAAAGCCAGAGAAATCAGCAAAGAGAAGCAGCTCCTAGTTGAGTTGTCTCATCCAAGCATACTGCCTCGTATTTAACTGATTCTTAAACCTCGACAGGATTTTAACCTTTCCCCACCAATTACTTATTTCTGTTATAATTATACGAGAGACTTTATTAAACACATTTGAAAATTCTCTGTGAATTATAACCAGCAGGTCTAACTACTTTATTCACTTTTCCTCTCTTTACTACATTTAAAGAGAGAAAAGCAAAGAGTCCCTACCCAGAAAGTAAAAAAGCAAACAGTTTTCTACCCAAACTGGTCTGTACTCTGAACAAGAGAAATCACTCTTTCTTTTATTGAAGTGCAAATCTGTTTGAAGCGTTCATTCTGCTTTCCCAGCCTGCTCTCTGCAGCTGCATAAAAGATGAGACTTGGGAATAAAAGAAAACTAGGCTGGGGCCAAAAAGCAATACTGTCCATATGCAAACTCACTCAAAGAGCAGTAGTTTCTGTACATCCCTTCCCACTGCTTCCATTCTAGCAGACCCCTAGCCAAAAGGAGGAGTGACTGTGCTATATCTGTATGTCCAATCCTGTTCAAAACAACTTCTTATATGAAATCAGGGGAAGGATAAGTTTACTAAACCCCCAGTTCTGACAGAGAGCATGAGGCATTCTCAGGGTCAACTTTTAGCTCTAAGCTGGCTGGAATTAGGCAAGTTTAAGAGAGCAATAGGGAGAGTCTAACAGGTCTCTTACAATGCTTGTGACAGAGGCATAGCAGCAGGGAGTAGAAATCACTTTACCTATCTTACCCCATGCAAAATTAAGGCAAAATCTTCCTCCATGCCAAATCTGCAACAGACTTTCAGAATGTCTAGAAACCCATTAGCCTACATGCAAGGGTATCAGGTAACCTTATAATCCCAGCATTCTCCTCAGGCCAGCAGTGAACCACACACAATTGAAAAAGTTCACCACCTCAAAAAAGAACTCTGCTGGGATCAGAAGGGTATTCTCAAGGGTTTTGAATTAGATGTCATTATAACTCCATGTTATTTTTAATACCCTTCTTCGGATTTTGCTCCACACAGAATTCCCAAGTTACAGAAGGACCATGAACAATGTCCAGATGTATAAAATGCAAAAATACTTCCCTCCTACTTGTGGATTCCAAGATAAACACCACAAGAAGCACATGTGACTAAACTTAGAGCTCATTCCAAATTAAATACTGCATCATGTGCACAGTTTAGGGCTTAAAAAACAAAACCCCACAAATATTCTGCACGGTTCATAAGCCAGGCTTGGGCAAGCACATGACCACGTTATAAGAAGGAACCATGAATTGAAGAGTAGGGGTAAAGGGTGAGAAAAGTCTTAGTCAAAACCTTTCCCAGAAAATTGGTGCTGTTTTCAGTGAACATTTGTATAATGTGGGACACAGATGAAAGAGGAAACTATTTTTCTGTGCTTTTTTTTTTCCCTACTGACATCCTTATTTCTAAAACTGTCCACCAAATTGGGAAACTCTGCAAAGATTTCAAAATTCCGAGCCAAAGCCAAGCACAAACATCATTAAATACAGATACAAACACACACACTGAGGTAATGAGAACTTATATCTCTGACTGAGCAGACCAGACAGAATCTTCTGATATATAAGCTGAGTTCTGGACAGAGTACATGGAACCTTATGGGACAGACCAGGAGAGTCAGGCAATGTGAAAAGACCTCTCCACTAGTGTTACTGTGTTTCGAAAAAAAAGTAAAAAATAGATGGATAAAGTAAAAAGACAGCTAAGAGATAGTATAGCTAACCGGGTAAGTTCAGTTTTTCTCCCACAACTTAACCTAAGCAAAAGCTTTCAAGAAATTCAGACTGGGAAATGTTTAGTTACGGAAATATCTTTTTAAAAAAAAAACTACATAACATTTGACAGATGCACATATATGTAAAATATATGTAATGTTTGACAGATGTAACACTTGACAGATGCATATATATTTTACATATATATATTTTACTACATTTAAATAGAGAAAAGCTTTGTCAAATGTTACATAGTTTTATATATATAACTTTTGTTTTATGTTAGTTATATACATAAAACTATTGTTTTATATATATAGTTACATAGTTTTATATATATAACTTTTGTTTCATATATGTATAATGTGGGTTATGAAGCATAATTAAAGAATATATACCTAATGAACCCAGCACTGAATTTATGAATTAGAATATTTCCAATCTCCTATGGACTAAATGTTTGTGTCCTCCCAAAATTAATGTATTAAAACCCTAATCCCCAATGTAATGGTATTTAGACATAGGGCCTTTAGGTAGGTCATTAAGGTTAGATTAAATCTTGAAGTTGGAGTCTCTATGATGGGAACAGCCATGTGAGGACATAACCAGGAAGAGGCCACCCAACCGTGCTTCCACCCTGATCTCAGACTTCCAGCCTTCAGAACTGTGAGAAATAAATGTTGGTTATTTGAGCTACCTAATCTATATGGTAATTTGCTATAGCAGCCCAAGCTAACTAAAACACAATCCCAGCGAAGCTGCACATGGGCCTCTACCAAAAACCATCTTCCTGCCTCCATGCAATGATCATCACTATTCTGAATTGTGCATTTTTTTCATTCTTGTCTTTTTTTTTAAATAAAGTTCTTACCCTAACTGTTGGAGTTTTCTTTCTTTAAAGGAATTAGGTATTTCACTTACTACTGTCAATTTTATATACACTATCTAGCTTTGCAAGAATCTATATAAAAGCATGCACAATTTGGCTTCCTCCTTTTTAAGGCTAACATCCTAGAGTAAGATGACATATAATATATATTGGGTACATACATGTATTTAAAATGAATTTGGTATTCCCTTTTTTGCTCCTGTTTGTGTGTGTTTCCACATTAGAGGAGGGAAAATAGTAAAGCCTTTATCTAATATATCAGAAAAAAGTATCCACCTGTATGTCTGTCTTCCTCCCATTTTAAGTAATTCAAGATATGAAATTATCTCTTACTTGCTCTAATTTCCTAGTACCTAACAAAGTGCTAAATGTCAAATAATTATTTTTCAATTAATCTCTCAAATTAAAGCCCAGATGCACACAGTCAGAGCTGGTCAACAACAACAAATATTGTTCTTTTGATCAGTGTTTTTCTTACATAACAGATCTCTTCATTTCTCAAGCCTAAGTTTACCAATTATCTTCCTAGATGGCAAATCATATAAGTCACTAAAATCACTTCCTCACCCACTAAATAAAAATCTTAGGTGGCAATGAAATTGTCAAGTGAGACCATTTTCTCGAGAGTCATACAGTGCTAAGGAGTCCATCTGGGCAAGCACACTATCACACACACAAGTTTAATTTAATAGTATTTGAGCTATTCTCAACCACAGATGCCAATATGACATGGAGACATCAACTGTTTTCTGCTGAAGAACAGCATCATCTACAAAGCAAACTATACACAAAATGACTGAGAAGTTCCTGCTATTTGACAGCAAGGAGTTTCACAACCACCTTAACGTTATCTTTATGTTATGTACTGAACACAATTCTCCTGGGTGCTATGTTCTAAAGGATAGGCCTACGCCCTCAATTATGTCACCATTATGCAATATGCTCATGATTACAAATTTGTCCATCAACTTGAAGGAGCAAAACTGACAGTTACTGTCACTTCAGAATCGAAATTAAGTTGTGTGGCCTCCATGAAAAGTATTATTTGTTAGAAAACTTTCCTGACTCATCTCTTGATTCTACTCAATGCACAAGATTATCTAAAATCTCTCTCTGGGTGTGGAGAGGAACCGGGAGAGAAAGTGCCTGAAGAATTTAAGCCAGTTGCAAGACATCAATATAAAAAATCTTTCTTAAGGGACAACTGCACTGTTATTCCAGAAGGCTTAACAGTTACACTTTAGGAAGCAAAGCTTAGAACTATTCACATAAATGTTATTAGTCTGGAATTCATTCTCACATTGTAAAAAATGAAAATTTTAAAAATTGAAACTCACTGGAGCACATGCCAGACTTCGTTATGAAACTCACATAATCCAGTTGAAAAGCCTTGGTCAAGAATCCGTACTGATGAGTCATTCTACAGAAAAACCTTGAGAAGGTGGACATAGTTCTCAGAAGATGATAACATAATTCTGCTTCAAAGAAGACCATGAAGAAAGTAACAGGACAGAATGGGAAAGAAAATTGAAAATGAATCCAACATATAAAATGAGCTCTTTAAAACACAATAATAGGCCAGGCATGGTGGCTCATACCTGTAATCCCAGCACTTTGAGAGGCTAGGCAGGTGGATCACAAGGGCAGGAGATCGAGACCATCCCAGCCAACATGGTGAAACCCCATCTCTACTGAAAATACAAAAATTAGCTGAGCATGGTGGTGTGCACCTGTAGTCCCAGCTACTCAGGAGGTTGAGGCAGGAGAATCGCTTGAACCTGGGAGGCGGAGTTTGCAGTGAGCCGAGATCATGCCACTGCACTCCAGCCTGAGTGACAGAGCAAGATTCCATCTCAAAAACAAATAAATAAATAATAAAATAAGAAGAAGATGAACAACTCATTAAAATTGGGCAAGAGATTTAAATAGACATTTCTCCAAAAAAGATATATAAATGGTCAGTAAGCACTTGAAAATTCTCAACATCATTAGCCATTAGAAAATGCAAATAAAAAACCACAATGATATAACCACTTCACACCCTACAGTCACTAGGGTGATTGTAATTTTTAAGAAAAAGATGACACGTATTAGTGAGGATGTGCAGAAACTGGAACCCTAACTCATTTCTGGCAGGACTTTGGAAAAATGGCTTCACAGTTCCTCAAAATATTAAACACAGAGTTCCCATATGATCCAGCAATTCTACTCCTGAGGATATAACCAGGAGAAATAAAAACATATGTCCAAACAAAAGCTTGTACGTGGATGCTCATTACTGCATTATTCATAATACCCATAATGCAAAAATAAACCAAATGTCTATCAACTAATAAATGGATAAACGAAATGAGTTATATTTATACAATAGTATATTATTGGCGATGAAAAGGAAGGAAGAATACTGGATAACATGCTGCAACACACATTTTGAAAACATTACGCTATATGAAAGAAGCCAGTCCCAAAAGAACACATATTATATGACTCCACTTTTATAAAATTTCCAGAATAGGCAAATCTATATAGAGAGAAAAACAGTGATTTCCAAGGGCTAGGGGAAGGTGGAAATGCAGAGTGAGAGAGTGGCCGCTACTGGCTTCAGGGTTTCTTCTTGGGATAGTGAATGTTTTGGAATTAGACTGTGGTGATAGTTGCACAATCTGTGAATATGCTAAAAAAAAAGAGCCCTAAATTGTATACTTTAAAAGGGTGAATTGTATGGTATATAAATTATGCCTCAAAAAGCTGTTAAAATTGTTCTGTTTTTTGAAGGCTTTCTGTAATGTGTCCTTTATAAAATAAACCTTTGTAAAAAGGTCTATTAATAAAATAAGATCTATTTTCTAATATGTATTCTTGAATATGAAAGTTCTGGCATTCAAAAAACAGACGTTGGCCTACTGACATTATCCTCTGGTGTAGTAGAATTCTGCCATAGTGAAATCCCTCTCTGCCCATCTTTTATTACCCTACTTGACCTTGTTTAGTTCTCATATTCATCTTTATAAGATGAAGTCCTCAGCATACCCTAGATCCTGAAGGAGCAAATAATGGATGTGATCAATTACTATATAAGAAATAAGGAGACTTCAGCTGGGCTATTTATCTAAGACAATGCAAAAGAATCCACTTTAAAATTTAAAAGAGTTAGTCAAAGGCAGTGGCTCACACTTATAATCCCACCCAACACTTTGGGAGACCAAAGCAGAAGGATACCTTGAGGCCAAGGATTTACGACCAGCCTGGGCAACACAGCAAGACCCCCAACTCTATAAAAAATTGTTAAAATTAGCATGGCATGGTGGTATGTGCCTATAGTCCTAGCTACATGGGACACTGAGGCAGAAAGATCACCCAGCCCAGGAGTTTAAGACTGCAGTGAGCTATAATCAAGCTATTGCACCCCCATTTGGGCAAGAGAGCAAGACTCTGTCTCTGAAAAAACAAAAAATTTTAAGAGCTGCATGTGCAGAATTGGCACTACAAATCCATTTCTAGCATACAACTGGTATACCTTGTTATCTTTGAAAGTGCACCGTATCTTACACTCAGAGTAATTGCCTAATCATCCCTATATATGTAAAAAAAGAAAAAAATGCTAAAGATGGTCTTTCTGGCATATCCAAAAATTAACTGTCTCTGAAAGGATTCCTATACAAATCTATCTTATACCAAGTACACTTTAGTCAGATTTATTCATTCATTTAACCAAAATTTACTGAGCACTCACCTGCTAAACACTGAAACTATACAAATAAATTATATTAGAAACAGACTCTACCATAAAAAAAATTCATCACTGTGGAGAAAGACAAATGCCTTGTAAACAGGCAATAGGATGGTGTGCTATCTAGCAGAGGAGAGAGCATGGTGCCGACAGGAAAGCATTCAAAGTCAGAAGTCTAAATTCTACAACGAACCAGGAAGTATGTGGACTATAACCAGGAGACGCCTTGCTGAGGTTTCCTGTCTGATCCTACCATTCGTTCAACATATGGACATTCCCCCCATCAATAAGAGCCAGGGATTGAACAGCATGCTCCAGATTCCTCAATAATATGCACTCCCTGCCCTCAAGTGGCTATTTTCAAAGTATGTCAACTAGAGCTTTTTTTTTCCACTCCAGAAACTCCTTTCTGATAGGGGGGTGAAATAGAGAATATGAAACAAATAAACCTAAAAATAAAAGGCATTCTTCCACATATTATTTAACATACTCTACAGGAAGGGGGTCAAGATTTTAGTTCAGATATTTTAAACTCCCTTTACCTATCAACTCTCTTATGGTACAAACAGCATCTTGTATCCTCAGCCAGAATTCCTAATTCTCATTAAATATGTGTCAAATGAATAAACAAATAAATGAAACAATGGTAAGCA